CTCTGTTCCAGTGTCCTGGACTCAGCCCTCCCACCTCGGAGGCTCAGGCCCGACACCCGGCTGGAGCACCAAGACCCTGCCAGCCACACGGCTAGGAAGAAAAGGAAGAAAAAAAAAAGAACAGCTAGAACCCCAAGCCAAATGGTAAAAGCAAAACTAAACAGAGAAAATCACACAAAGAAACATACACACTCACAAAAAGAGAAAAAAGGATAAAATAAAAAAATAATAAAAAAGATAAAAAATTTTTAAAAGTAAAAAAAAAGAAAAAGGAAGAGATCAAACCAATAAACAAATCCACTAATGATAACAAGCACTAAAAAGTAAACTAAGATAAACATAAAACCAAAAACCAATCAGACAGAGAAAGCAAACCCCAAGTCTACAGTTGCTCCCAAACTCCACTGCCTCTATTTTGGGAGCATTCATTGTCTTTTCAGGTATTACAGAGATGCAGGTTTATCAAGTTGATTGGGGGGATTTAATCCGCTGCTCCTGAGGCTGCACGGAGAAATTTCCCTTTCTCTTTTTTGTTCGCACAGCTCCTGGGGTTCAGCTTTGGTTTTGGCTCCGCCTCTGCGTGTAGGCCGCCCTCAGGCGTCTGTTCCCGCCCAGACAGGAGGGGGTTAAAGCAGTGTCTGATTAGGGCTCTCTTGCTCACTCAGGCCGGGGAGAGGGAGGGGTACGCTAGTCATAATTGGAATGGAGGGGGAGCCTGTGGCAGCAGAGGCCGGCGTGATGTTGCAGCAGCCTGAGGCGCGCCATGTGTTCTCCCGGGGAAGTTGTCCCTGGGTCACGGGATCCTGGCAGTGGTGTGCTGCACAGGCTCCTGGGGGGTGTGTGGGTAGTGACCTGCGCTTGCACACAGGATTCTGAGTGGCAGTGGCCGCAGCGTTAGCGGTTCATGCCCATCTCTGGGGTCTGAGCTGATAGCCGTGGCTTGTGCCTGTCTCTGGAGCTCGCTTAGGTGGTGCCCTGCCTTCTGTGGGCACGCGGAGCAGGAATCCCCTCTCCTCACACACCTGGAAACAATGCTGTGTTGCCTCTCCAGCAGGTCCAGACTTTTCCCCAGACTCCCTCCTGGCTATCTGTGGCACACTAGCCCCCTTCAGGCTGTCTTCACATAGCCAACCTCAGTCCTCTCCCTGGGGTCTGACCTCCAAAGCTTGAGCCTCAGCTCCCAGCCCCTACCCGCCCCAGGGGGTGAGCAAACCAAAAAATTACTATCTTATATGAGTAACTACTTGTCTCAGCAGCACTGGTTGAATAGCCCATCCTTTTCCCATTAATTTGTAATATTAAATCTGATTTACGTCAGTCTCCTCTCTGTATTTTATAGTGTCCAAGCACAAAAAAGCAAAATGAAGTCTTGAGCAAAATACCTGGATAATGTAAGATTTAAACTTGATGTTGAATTTGAATTGTGTGTGTTTTTAACCCTGTGATGTCAACCCCCACCTATATGTGTAACTCCAATCAGCACTCCTTTGAAAATGGAAATTAGTTTGTACTGATTACAGGTTGCCAATACTTACGTTAATGAATTCTGAGCGTTTAATCTCAAACAATGATTAGTATAAAAAGGATCCAAAAAAATGGAATTGACTATTCTAGTTATGACTTATGGATGGGTTTAGTCAGTGTTTTTCTCTTTGAGACCAAAACCTGAATCAGTCAATTAAACAAACAAACCAAAGTTCAGTCTATTGACAACAAGTTCGTGTAGTAAGATACGGTATTGTGTGGAGTTTGAATATCTAAAGGTCTGAAATCCACAGTAAATGTAATGAGGTCTTTATGTTTATGTCCATGGTTAACTATATTCATGGGTGAGACAGCCATTGCAGTAAGGCCTGCTGTGTGTGTGGAGTTTTGCTGAATTGTGTAGCTTCTAAAACAAGAAGAATAAGCTTGCTCCAAAGTTAAGACACTTAAATGGAAAAACCCGAAGGAAAAATCATTACCCAATGAAGATTTAAATTCATTCAGATGGGGAAGACATATTCTCAAAACAACATGAACTGCTCATTGATTTGTCTCCTTCAGGGGAATGCTTGCTAGTGGGGACAACCGGCCAGTGTTGGGTCTGGGGGTTTAGAGAGCTAGCCTTTTGCACTTGGTGACTTGTGTAAACAATTGGTGTGACGTACCTGGCCGCAGACGCGTTTGGCACTATCTTGGATCCCACGCAAGGCCAGGTAAACTGATTGGCTTCTTGTCACTGCTTCACAATCTGAAGTAGACAGCATCGTGTGGACCAGATATAGAATGCACAAACAGCCACACTCGTGCAAAGAGTACTGTGAAAAAGAGGTGTGAATATTGTCCAGGTGCTGTGCCTCAGTGGTTCTCAAACTTCAGCGTGCAAAAAATTTCCTAAGGATTTGTGGGTCTTACGTCTAGCTTTTCACTCAGGTCTCGGGGGCTGGGCATCGGCACGCCTGACAAGCACCTGAGAGTTCCTGAAACCACACCGTGTTGGTGAAACCTGGTTATTCTCAATCCTCTGTCATGATTTAGGTTGTATTCAAGTGCAATTGGTTTTTAATTTAATATTTTCTTTTAATCAACTCATTTGTTTTGTATAAAGAAAAGGAAACTGAATTACTCCTATAAAAGTAAAATCGGTATCACTTACTGTACATAGAGGGTACACATGAATATACATTAAGATAAATGTGTGTGTATGTGTATACATATACATAATCATAGGCAATGATTTTGCTTTAGGTTCTTCCATTTAAATGTCAAGTTTGGGGAAAGTTTCTGTGTATATGGTATAAATATATACCAATATAAGTATATCTGTCATCCACTTAATATTATCTTTTGTTTCTCAGTTTGGCAAACACTAAGAAAAAGGGTTATAGGGGAGAGAGAAGCATTTGCCCCAGGCCGTCAGGAATTAAGGATGAGGATGTCTTGGTTTTGTGCTGAGGACCATTTATAATTTTAGAAATAGCACACTGGAGTGTGGCTGGTATTCTTGCCTTGAGCTGACAACTCTAGCTGTCTGCCCCGTGGAGAAGGGCACCTCGACAAGAGGAAAAGTTCACCCAGAGACAGACAGAAGGGAGGGTGCACGTCCCTTCAAGAACTGGGAAACCCTGTGTGCAGAGGACTAGCCCTTCTGTTTTGGTAGTAAACTTTGGAGGAAGGGAAGAGAAAGGCAAGGATGGAATTGTTTATAATTATAAGGACCTGTGGTGTGCCAGGCACTGTGCAGGGGCTTGCACATGGCCTCTGGTTTAATGTTTTGAAGGCGCTGTGACACGTGCACATTATCGTTTATTCTGCTGTGGAGTTGAGGAAGTGGAGGCATGGGGAGTTGAAGCCACTTGCCCAGGGTTCTGTAGTCACTCCAGGTCACCCTAGAGTGATACGAATCTTATTTCAATGCAGACTTGAAAAAGAAATGCATTAACTACCACATTTTAAGTTTTAAATGTTTACATTAATGTAATTTAGCATTTTTTGTTTTGCTGTGCAATCCTGAACATGTATCCTCTTGTGAGCCTCATGGTAAGCACAGAAACAGTTTTTACCTCCTATGTCTTCCAATTATGACCTCTCGTTATGTAAAAACTTTTCCTTATCAAGGTCTCTGTAAGTTCAACTTTTAGTGTGGTAGCCTTCAGGTGGTAATGTGAACCTGAAGAGAGAAAGAAAAAGCAAACAAAAAGCCCCCCACCTGTTTTCGCTCATAATTACTTCATGGAAGGAATGATCATTAACACAGCCTGCGAGTTGTGTCACAGAGACCTACCTGAGTGTAGCATTTCAAGGAAAGCATGGGCCCATCAGAGGACTGGGAGTGTGGGAAGGCTGGTCTCTGGGGAGTGAGCCATTCTAGAAGAGCTGATGAATCAGGCTGGATGAAATCTTCCAGAGAACCTTTAGACAGATTTTATCAGAAATGTACATTTGGCATTATGCTAGGATATTATGATGAGATCATGATACTAACTTAGCCTTCTGCATTTGGAGTTCTTTTTAAAGGGAAACATCCCAGGCTGCTGTTTCCCAGAGATAATGATGAGCTCCGTCTACTTTCAGCCATCTTCCATGCAGGCTGCCTTATGATTTCACAGCAATCTCTGATATATGACAATATCAAAATGGTTCAGCCTTCTCTAGATTTCTGAGGGTCTGATATTGAATAAAATGATGCCCGTAGAAGCAACAAGGAAAGATGGGTTTTCCCCTGGAGATTTTTTTCCCACTATTTCACAAATAGGAGTGATGAAACTGACCCTGTGTCTTTTTTTCTTTGGAAGCATGAAAACTCAGAAGCAGTTCTGGCCTCAGAGCCTGTGGATCATTGCTCTATTTCTTCTCTAGCTTAGGCTTTCTGCCCTAACCTAGCTTTTCCTTGGGCCTCAATTATTTGCTTAGATTTGCCATGCAGCTAGGCGGCATATTACGATTTGACTCAAACTAGACATAAAAACAAGTATTTTTAAATTATTTTAAATTAATTTTAATATATTAAAAAATAATATATTAAAAATAAGTAAATTTCCAGTGTTAGAAACAGTGCTGACTTGAGTGGAATGAAAGAGAATTCCTTCTTTCCATGCTTTTGGCAACTTTATACTGTCTTCGTTTTTTGTGAGCCATCACACACTTGTTTCTCAAGGCCATTCCCATGTTGTCTTTCTTGCAGAATCATAGACAGAGTCGGGAATTTATGGTCAACTTTGCCTTGGTCACACACACACACACACACACACACACGAGATATTTTTATCTCTTGCATATCAACTAGTTTAAAATACCCTTTAAAAGCATCCATCAAAGAATTAGTAATTCTTATCTGAGATGAACAACCTGCAAACATACAGTTAGAATAATTTTAGTGTCTTATTTTGATTAGGAGTGGGTTTCTTGTGTTTTAAACTCAAGATTGTGAATAGTTTTAATTAACTTGTTTATTTTTAAATACAGATTTCAGGTTTACATTGAGTTTAGAAACAAATGATTTTTTTTTCTCATTGCAGACAGAACTAAACTCCACATCTCCCTTCCCCAGCAAGGAGCTGGCTGAAGCCACAAAAGCTTTGCTGGATAGTCTTGGGATTGTGGCTCAAGAGGTAAGTCATTTCTTTTTCAGCCCCAGAAGGCAGATCATCCACTATCACTTTTTTCCACCCTGAGTTTGGCTCAGAGGGTCTTTTTGATTTGAATATCATAGGAAATGTAAAATCAGCTTTATATCCGTGATCTTAAAATTACCTGATTTGATCTCCTTACTTTAGAGATGAAGAAACCAAGACTCATAGATGTCTCAAGGTTAATTAGCTAGGGGCTGAAGGCCTGATATCTAGCGTAGAACTTTCTCTAATTACTCTTGGCCCCTAGTTAATGACCCATTTGTAAAGAGGATGATTCCTCCTCATCTTCCGTGTACTGTATTTGTCTTACCAGCAACTTCTCCGTATTTATTTATTTTTTAAAATAAATTTATGTATTTATTTGTGGCTGAGTTGGGTCTTCGTTGCTGTGTGCAGGCTTTCTCTAGTTGCGGCGAGCGGGGGCTACTCTCCATTGCAGCGCGTGGGCTTCTCATTGCAGTGGCTTCTCTTGTTGCGGAGCACGGGCTCCCCATTGCGGTGGCTTCTCTTGTTGCGGAGCACAGACTCGGCATGCGGGCCTCAGCAATTGTGGTTTGCGGGCTCTAGAGCGCAGGCTCAGTAGTTGTGGCTCACGGGCTCAGTTGCTCTGTGGCATGTGGGATCTTCCCGGACCAGGGCTCAAACCTGTGTCCCCCGCATTGGCAGGCGGACTCTCAACCACTGCGCCATCAGGGAAGCCCATCCTTATTTCTTTTTCAGTAGCAAAGCAAGACAGTCTTTTTACCAAAACATTTGTTTGCTGTCTGAAGGGAAGAACATGGTACCCCTAATTCAGATCTTTCCCTTGTCAATATCTGGGCCCTGAGTTCAACTATGGGAATGTAGTCTCCTGATAAAAGTTGAGCTTACCTTTCAGGTCCACGTGTTTACAAGCGTATTAGAATAACCTTTGTCACAGGATCAGGGGGCCTAACTTACAAAAAGCAATTAGCCATTCCTCTGCCTCCCCGTCAGCATGTGCTCACCTTTCTGACACCCAGCCTTGTTTCACATTAGACTTGGAAAGGGGGAACCATTTGGAGCCAGGTGTGTAAAGAGCTAAGCTTGAGGGATGGTGGTCAGAAGCCATGCAGGCCTTAGTATTTAAGACACCGGGTAGGAATAATTCATGGTGAAATTCTCTCAGACTTGGTCCAGTCTTATTATGAGTTGCTTCTCTAAGTCATTTTTTGGGGTTTGTATCATTTTTCTCAAATATCAAAGCTCACTTTATGTCTCCTAAGAATAAAGGCTTGCATGGTCACTATGGGAAATGCAGAACGTTTGGAAAATAGAGAAAACACCAAGATTCAATGCTGTTGATTTATTAGTGTTTTGCTTTGGGGTCTGTTCTGTTTTTCAATTCTGCTCATGTGCGTCTGACTGGAGAGGCGTGGCTTTTGGGTCACTTTCAGGAGGAGAAGCCCTGTTCCAGGCTGCCATCTGTTCTTCCGGTTATGAACGCTGGTGACCGCTCTGTAGGTGGAGAAGCTGGGTCTCCCAGGGTTCTTCCAGGAGGCAGAATGAGAAATAGAGCCTGCCCTGCAAGTCATTTCTCCTGGGCCCCGTTAGCTGACACTGATATGCCCCGTACTGCTCTGCAGGTCCCTGCCAGCCTTAGGGAAAGCGAAGCAGGGACTCTAACATGGGAGGCTGCCTCTAAGCTCACGGTCTGGTTGCAGCTGTTTCCTCTTACGTCACTGGCCTGCCTTTTGTCTGGGTTAAAAAGAAAAATGGAAAGCATGTGATGCTCATGTGGTAGAACCTCTCCAACTGAACAATATACATTTTTCCTGGCAGCTGCTTCCTTGTGCCCTGCTTGTTCCCTGGTCCTGGACGGCAAGGGCCACCCGCTCCTCTCAATGGAACACTAAGTCAAGTCACTTTTGCCACGAGTGACTCATTATCTAACTTGCCGTTTCCCTGGGACAAATGGGAGGAGATAAATAAATAAGTGCACTTGTTGATCTGCTCCATGTTTGGAAAGAAAGTTGGTTGTTTGACCAAAGCACAGCCCTTAAAAAAGGGAAGCTAAGGGAAAAGGGAGCTAAGCTGCCCTGGTTCATGCAGTTTCACCCAATTTCCCTGTGTAATCCACATGACAGATGTGAGTGGGTCCTACTGTGCCCATTTTACCGGTGACACTGAGGCTCAGAAGAGCTAGACAACTTGCCCACAGTCACCTAGTAAGTTAATTGGCGAAACTGGGATTCGAACCCAGGACCGTTGGCCTCGAAAGCCCATGTTCTTGCTACTTAAGCCCACTTTTTGTCTGAACCCTGATGGTAACTGGAATAAATAAAATAATAGATAAATAAATAGATAATAATAAATAAATAAATAGAATAAAAAGGAGACTCTTCAAAGAAAGAAAATATGGATTAACAGGGCCGGCAGTTGGCTGGGAACGGGGACTTTTGGAGCCAGATGAGTGAGAGCGGACATGAGCATCACATCTCAGTGACGGGAAGGTGAGCCTGGGGAGGCAGGGCAGGAAACAGTGTCTCCGTTATCTGCCCAGCACCCACCAGGTGCCTGCCACAGCCGGGTGCTGGGGACTCAGCAGCGAGTGCACTAACTTCCCTGTTCTCGTGGGACTGACATGGGGCGAGAGACAGGAATAAACAGGTCTGTATATCATGTGACAGCAGGAATGCCTGCCATGAAGAAAAATAAAGCCGGGTAAGAGGCTGGAGGGTGATGAGGTGGTGTCTTAAAGGGGGCTGATTGGTGAAGTCCTCTCTGGTCAGGTGACATCTGAGCCTGAGGGGAATGACACTAGGGCCTCCACTCCAAGCAGGAGGAACCGTAAATCCAAAGACACTGATGTAAGGCATGATGAAGAGATGTATGTAAAGACCAGGGAGAAGCTGGGACGAAGTGAGAGAGTGGCATGGACATATATACACTACCAAACATAAAATAGATAGCTAGTGGGAAGCAGCCGCATAGCAACAGGGAGATCAGCTCGGTGATTTGTGACCACCTAGAGGGGTGGGATAGGGAGCGGGGGAGGGAGATGCAAGAGGGAAGAGATATGGGGATATATGTCTATGTATAGCCGATTCACTTTGTTATACAGCAGAAACTAACACACCATTGTAAAGCAATTATACTCCAATAAAGATGTTAAAAAAATAAAATAAAGATCAGGGAGGAGCCCAGCCATGGCCAGAGCAAAGAGAGCAAGTGAGAGGGGAGTCGGAGGTAAGGTCACAGCAGGAGGTGAGTGTGGTGCAGGGCTGCCAAGGCTGGGTCTACACTGAGTACGATGGGAGGCCAGTGGAGGGTCTGGAGCAGGGGCGCCTGGTGTGACCTAGAGGATGAGGGTCATTTATGGTTCGGCTGTTATGCTAGGAGACTGTGATGGGGGCGAGGGCAGGAGGAGGCCATCGCAGTGGATTGAGAAAGTGAGTCAGTGGTTCTTCACTCCACGGATGTCGATCAAACGCCACCTTCCGTGGGCTGGAGGATGAGCAGCCCCCTTCCCTGTGAGGGGGAGGGCTTCACGGAGGAGGTGTGGAGCGGGATTTGAGGTGCAGAAGAACGAGTAGGAGTTTGCCCCTGAGACAGGTTCTGGGAAGAGCCCAGAGCTTGGAATAACTCAGTCATTTATGGTGCTTCTGTCCAAAGATGTGCTGGCTTTAGGTGGGGAGCAATTTGTCCTTTTGATTGGGGGATGGTGGTGGTGAGAAAGAGAAGTGAGTGGCTTTTGCTGTCGTTTAAAAATCTCTAGGGGGCTTCCCTGGTGGCGCGGTGGTTGGGAATCCGCCTGCCGATGCAGGGGACACGGGTTCGTGCCCCGGTCCGGGAAGATCCCACATGCCGCGGAGCGTTTGGGCCCGTGAGCCATGGCCACTGAGCCCGTCCGGAGCCTGTACTCTGCAACGGGAGAGGCCACAACAGTGAGAGGGCCGCGTACCGCAAAAAACAGAAAAAACAAACAAACAAACAAATCTCTAGGGCTGTTGCACCCACTAAGGAAAGGAGAGGTGGTCTGACTACCTCTCCCCTCCCCGTCTGTATACTTCATACAGGTGATGAGAAGATAAAGTCAGGAAAAGCGGGCCGCCTAACTGTGTTCTCCCGGTGTTAGATGCTCCCTCTGGAGGAAGGAATCTTTGTGACCTCTGACCGCCTCTGGGGCTCCTGGTTCCCCTTGCAGGCAGAAGGCAAATGTGGGCTCTGTGGTGCCCAGGACCTTGTCACTCACCGGAGCCAGCAGGCTCTGTGAGATGGAAAACTGGGCCCGGGGGCAAGTGCAGGGTTCCGCAGCCACTCCCCTCTGCTCACCACGCCTCAGGCCTCCAGGCGGTGAGGACAAGCAGTGACATGTCAAGGAATGTAGGGATTTTTTAATGATTTATTGTGAAATGTGTGGAAATACAAAGTGCTCTATAAATATTGAATTATAAGAGCCACTGGGCCAAGAAGTCCGCACAGTGCTGGAGTACGTTGGTGTGTGAGACAAAGAGCTGGTCACGTGTGAGTCCCAGACTCAGACCCCCCGCTGCCTGGGGCATCTGGGTCTTCCGGCAGGGACTGTTCTGTGTTGGGCCCTCTCTGGGACGTCAAATATAGTGTGATTTTCTCCTCGCCACACTGTTTTAGCTTCATCATCTTGATGGGAAGTTGGGCCCTCAGAGAAGTGACTTTCTGAAAGCTGTGAGCTAATGAGAGACATAAGTGGGATTCAAACTCGGTCCCCCACCATGCGCTCTTTCTATTGCCCGACACTCAGCCAAGACGAGGATGGGGACTTCACACACAGCACCTCTTCTTCCCAGGGGCAGAGGGCCCCTCAGTTTCCACACTGAAGTTTGAGGTGTTTTAGAAATGAGGCAGTGACCGAGGGTGTGAGCGGTTCCTGACGTACGCCTATGAACACATAGTCATTCAAAGAAAGCATCCTCTTCTGTAAACTCAGTGATCATCCGAATGAGATAAAGCCCGTCACCAGGGGCTCCCCTAACTGCTAAGTGGTGCTTCTCAGTCTCTAATGTGTCTAGGAGTCACCTGGGCACCACGTGAAAATGCAGATTTGAACTGTAGATAGATAGACCAGAATCTGCACCTCAAACGGCCTCTCCGATGACGCCGATGCCCCTGGTGCCTGGACCACAGAGGAGTAGCAAGGCTCTGACAATCCCATCACAGAGCGATGCCCCTCTGAGAGGTGACATCAGACAAGACATGTTCTGGGCTGAGGCTGTGGCGAGGTCAAGACATTAACCTGTTCATTCCTATTCTGTGTCTTCAACCTGCCCCGCGCTTCCCTCTGCTTTTCCTCCTGATCTGTCCACCAGCTCTTCAGCATGAGGAGCTGGACTGACATGCGGCAGGAGGTGATGTTTCTGACCAATGCGAACAGCTCCAGCTCCCCCACCCAGATCTACCAGGCCGTGTCCCGCATCGTCTGCGGCCATCCCGAGGGTGGGGGCCTGAAGATAAAGTCCCTTAACTGGTATGAGGACAACAACTACAAAGCCCTCTTTGGAGGCAACGGCACTGAGGACGACGCTGGCACCTTCTATGACAATTCTACCAGTGAGTGTCCGTGCAGACCCAAGCCCTGGGCCCAGCCCACCTCGGTCCCAGGCTCAGCCCCGCGGCCCCTGTGGCACCTGCTTCTTCGTGCTTATCCTCACCCTACGTAGCAGTGGTGGGTGTTTGTTTACCTGTCTGTTTGCCCCCCAGACTGAGCTCCTAGAGGAGGGAATCTTAATCAGTGAACTGTCCCCACTTGTGTGAACGAGGCCTGGCACATCCCAGGCGTACAGTGTGTTTATCAAGTGAATGGATGACTGAAAGCCAATCCCTCAGTTTTCTGGGGGATGTCGGAGGGTGGTTCCCAAAGTGATCAAGTATCTTCTCCTTCTTCTCCCCCTCTCCCTTGCCCCTCCCCTCTCCCCTCCCTCTCCTTGAGGTATGCTTTACAATAAAGACTTAACAATAACAACAGCAATAATAAAAGATAACATTTAGGGAACATTTCCTATATACTATGCATTTTATTTAACTTATCTCATTTAACCCTTAAAATAACCCTGCGAGGAAGGTTTTATAACCCCACATTTTATAGGCTCAGAGAGGTTCAGCGACTTGGTCAAAGCCACACCATAGCTAATTGGCAAGAGCCAGGATTAAGCCAGATCTGCCTGGCTCCATGCTTTTTTTCGGTAAACCACGTGGCCTCCAAAATACCTGTTCATGGTGGTGTGTGTGTGCCATCAGACTGAGACATGTGATCTGCTGTTTGTGGTTCTTAGCTGCAAGGTGGCATTGAAGAACCTTGTAACTCCATATCTGTTCCCCACACTTGGGCAGTTTTGTGGGGATGTGTGTCCTGTGCCTGGTGGCAGCCAGAAGCCAGCGTTATAGTTTTAGACAATGGCATCGTTTTCATTGAAAATATGATGCAAGTGAGCCTTTCTCCATTTCTAACTGCAGGTGTGCCTTTCAGACACTGAGTGAGGTGGCTTTTTGTGCGTTATTGTGACGCAAGAACCTTTTATTCTTGTCTGGAGTGAAGCACTCCAGACATGGCAGGTTGCTTTGCGAGCCTGAAGGGAAGGGCACTGTAGGCGGTTTTCTGAAATGCCGTCCCCTCTGCTCCCTCACTTTGTAAGTCAGCCCAAGGGAACCTTCATTTTCACAACAGATATAACTGTGAGAAAATCCTCTTGAAAAAAAAAATTATCTTTGTAGCATGTAGAGGACACTTAGTATCTAAAAGAACCAAGAATGAAATTTTTTTAAAAATCAGGAATCCTCCTGGATAATCAAACCCTACTGTCTGTTATAAATTTGGATTTTTCAGTTTGGGATGTTTATTACATTTATTACATATACTTGTGATGAGGCCTATTAATTAAAGGGAAATTTAAAATTTCTGCTTGAAAACTAAAGTCTGAATTCAGCTCTTTGTTTCCAATAAAAACAGAGTGGTGAGGACTGGTGCAAGCTATTTAGAGTTATAAAGGATTGTGCATAATAAAAAACATTTTTCCATATTGTCTCAGTTGTGAGTTATCCATCGTCAGTGTTACAATAAGCTCTGATTATTTATCAAGCATCGTTCTAGGGGCTGCACAGATAGCATCTCAGTTAATCCTCTCTGCATCTCCGCCAAGTAGATGTCATTAACTTTATTTTTACAGAGGAGCCAACTGAGGCTCAGACAAGTGATGTTGTTACATAGCCATTAAGTGGCAGAGCTGAGATTTGAACCCATGACTGACCAGCTGGCTCCAAAGCTCTTGTTAGTTCCTACAAGTACATTAGCATGCATACAAATATTTGCCTTTCATCCTCTTCATAGCTCCTTATTGCAATGATTTGATGAAGAATCTGGAGTCCAGTCCTCTTTCCCGCATCATATGGAAAGCTCTCAAGCCCCTGCTTGTTGGGAAGATCCTGTATACACCTGACACTCCAGTCACAAAGCAGGTTATGGCTGAGGTAAGCTGCCTGGGCCCAAGAGGCCCTCTACAGAATCCTCCTAGAATTATGGACAAAAATATAAAGGTGGCTTCGGATGGCATGTGTTGAGTATACTCATGGCTCTTCTGGGATTTCCAGAGTGAGAACCTCCAGTTTGACTCAGGCCCAAGCTGACTGTTGAGGGCCAGCTCTCCAGCCTTGGGTATTTGAATCACTGCTGCAGGCAGACACTTCTTGGGAATGGGAAGGACTGGAAAAGGGCTTCTGTGATGGAACATCTTTTCAGGGAGCAGCTGAGTTCTCATGCCTCTGCCTCCCTCTCTTTTTTTTTGCTGCCCCTGGCTCCCCGTTTGACTCCAGGTGAATAAGACCTTCCAGGAACTGGCTGTGTTTCATGATCTGGAAGGCATGTGGCAAGAGCTGAGCCCCAAGATCTGGACCTTCATGGAGAGCAGCCCAGAAATGGACCTTGTCCGGGTGAGTGTCCCTCTGATTACCGGGTACCTGATTGATGCTCCTTACTTTCCCAGAAGTGACTGAGATGAGGATTCTTTACATTGAACCAGTGCAGACGTACTGAGCGTCGCTCAAGCCACAGGCCCATCACTTGGCAGAGCTACAGGTGACGGTGCACAAATCACACCATTTCATGCACATCAGCATCAATGTGTCTGATAGTCAAAATCAGATTTCCAAGAAACCTAGGGCTGGTATTTGGAGCAAGAGTTTGGTGATTACAGGACCTTGATTATTTTCATTTCTGGCTCTAGAGCCACAGCATCTTACTTAGCCCTACTATGTCCTAGTGGGTCTTGGACAGAGGTGTGTGTGAGCAAAGGTCTGGTCTGACCTGAGATACCCATTCCCCGAGGCACCGTGTGAGTGTAGAGCTGCTGTTACTGCATGGAGGGGAATTGTACTTAGTGCTTCAGAACCACTTGAAAAGGGATAAATGCTCTAGAGACAATTGGATTCAAAAGCGGAGGAGTCTGAGCATGGAATGTCTCCTTTGCTTGAGTCTGAGTGCCATTTAATCGCATCATCCTGCCTTGGGCTGAGTCAGAGAATCATTAGACTATTTCCTCTCTCCATGGTGAGAGAGGCCTCTTCCTTTTTTCCTGCTGCTATTAAGAAGCACGAATGGATTTTGCCAGGTTTCTTTTCTTGACACCTCATTGATCGGAGGGGCAGCTGGGTGTTAGAGGAGGTATCTACCGTGGGAGGTGCTCTCCCAGGCTGAGGACTGTCCCTTGATGTCCCTGGGAGGGATGATATGCAGGTGGTCTTCCAATGAGGGGAAAGCTGGAGTCATCTTTATTGCACTAGTCTTGCAATTTAATTCTTAAATTGGGAGGCTTTAAAAACCAAGGGACTTCAGTCAGAAAAACATGAACAATAATTTGTATGGATTGACTAAATACTTCTTACTAATAATGATAACAACAACAACTTATGCCCTTCAAGGATGGATCTCTGTTGGACTCCAGTCTCTCCTCCAAAAGGGATTCAAGTGGTCCAGCCACAGACAGTGCCATAGACTTAGGTGTGGTCTCAGGTGTCTTCTTCCTGGTCCTCTCCTTAGAATGTACATTTCTACTTGTTGGACTTCTCTCCTTCTGCGTCTCAGAGGATGGTGAGGGTCCCTGTTGAAGGAACTCCATGAGTTTTAGTCTGTAGGCAGAACGATGCTTCCCCTTCTCTTAAATAGACGGTTTGGCTTGGATGCTCCAGCAGCTCACAGGCTCTCAGTTCTTCTGGGACAAGGCGCTTGCCAACATGGCCATGGCATTCATTAGCACTCCTGCTGGAGAACACAGGATGTGTGATGGGAAATGGAGGAGCTGTGGCTGGGGAGAAAAGCATGGCATGTGGTTTGGAGAGCCTTGGGCGTCAAGCCAAGGACCTTTACTTTAAGCTCTGGAGCACCATGAAAGGGTGCTAGGCAAGGGGAGCTATTACTCTGGTTTGACAGGTGGATTGAAGAGGGGAAAGGTGGAAGGCAGAGTCCAGGGCGGAGGCTATCCAAGTAGGTGGCCAAGGCATTGGCTGGAGGCAAAGCCTGGTGACTGCTTGATTGTGGAGGGGTGAAAGAGAGGGCAGCTTCAGGATGATTCTTGATTTCTAGCTGGTGGACGGTGGGGATGTCCAACAGGCCAGTGGGTATTGGGGCCTGGTGTGTAGGGGGCTGGTTAGGCTGAGACACCAAATGCAGACTCATCAGCCTGCGGGCGGAGGTCGAAGGAGCCTCCTCCAGCTGCTTTCTCTTCTCTACTGTTCACTCCACAAGCTTGGGCCACTCAGTCCTCTGTACCCCCTGCAGCCTTGCGTCTGGTACACAAGGCAATGCTTGAGACTTCTGCGTCTGTTGGGGTAGCTCTTTCTTTTTTTTTTTTTTTAGCTTTATTGAGGTGTAATTGACAAATTAAAAGTGTATGTATTTAAGGTGTACAACTTGGTGTTTTGATATATGTATGCGTTGTGAAATGATCTCCACAATGGAGCTAAGTAACATGTCCCTCACTTCACATAGTTACCTCTCAGCAAGTGTCAAGTATACAGGACAGTATCATTAACTATAGTTACCACACTGTACATTAGGGCCTCAGAACTCTTTGTACTGCAAAACTGAAACTTCATACCCTTTGACCTCCCTGTTTCCCCCAGCCCACGACAGCTACCGTTCTACTCTGTGGTAGCTCTTATCTTCTGCTGTCTCTGGCTCTGTCTACACCCGTCGCGTCACCCCACATATCTGGAGGCGCTTCTCCGTTGAGTCATGTAACCCACTGATACTAAACTGTTCTCCTTTCTGAGCTGCTGTTTGTCTCCTTCATCTCAAGCCTCTGCTTTCTCCCTGGCCACTGCTCCTGAGGGGGATCTTTGGTCTCCCGGCCCCTCTCGTGCTCTAGAACGGCCATGTGATCAGTGATCTCACTGGGCATGTCTCTCCAGCCTTGCTGCCCTCCTTGGCCATATTGCTGAGAAGCCACACTGGCCAGGGAGGGCCTCACCCCAAATGCCACGTGTCTTCACTCAGGTCTTATTTGCTCAGTTCCAGTCCCAAACAAGTCATTTCAGAATCACTAACCCATACCCCTGTGAACCTTTGTGAGGTACAATTTTGTACCTATTTTGTTAACAAAAACACATATCTTAACTGATGACAGTATAAATTGTTATTCCCTATAGGAAAACAATTTGGAATGAAAATTGTAAGAGCCATAAAAAATGTGTTATGCTGTGTATCTGCATTTCACACACCCTCAGGGATGTATCCCATACAGAAATAATTTTAAAGAAAAAAGTCACCATATGAGAGAGAATGTTATTGCTATAATAATTGTTATTGTGAGAAATTAGACTAAATGCTGCGGTATGGGAATAGTTAATGAAATTATAGTGTATATACGCTATAAAAACTATTATGCTCCCTTTATAATAAAAAATATGAAGCCACACGGCGAAAAAACTTATATGTTAGTAGAAATAAGACTGATTTAAAAAATAGCAGAGTTTGGCCCCGTAGGGATTCCATTTCAGTAGAGCCAGAGCTTCAGGTGTGTTCTCAAAGGTGTGAAAGGAGTTGCAGCTGATTCTCCTTTCCATGAGCTGAGGTTGAGACAGACCCATTTTTCTGGCAGCACATCTGTGCAGGCCTCTGCCCTGGTCCTCTGCACCTGCTGGTTGAGCACCAGATTGGTTTTCCTTCTCTTCCATGTTGACCCACATGGAGAGCCAGCCAGCTAGGGAATAAGAAATGGAAGACAGGCCTCCTTTGCATCATGACCCGTGCATCCCGCAACTGGAAAAGATCATATTGGTTTAACAGCAGAATTCTTTTCCCAAACTAAACAGCAGAAGTAGGTGTGGCTTAATTCAATCTAGAGATTAGGGTCTTTATGAGGAATCATCAGCCTGGATCTCAAAAGAGGAAGAAGATATAATGTAGTGGGAAGGTGCAGTAGAATCCGAGAGCCCAGTATTCTCACCTGTAAAATGGAAACATTGGGTTACCTATCTCACAGTTTTCTATGAAGATTTTAAAGAAAGACAATGTATGTGAAAGGGTTTTGTAAACCATATAGTGCTCATCAAGACTTAGTGGTGTTTACTACTTGTACTTTGTTATGGGAATGGCAGACGCTTTTGGACAGCAGAGGCAATGACCACTTTTGGGAACAGCGATTGGAAGGCTTAGATTGGACAGCCAAAGATATCGTGGCATTTCTGGCCAAGCACCCAGAAGAAGTGCAGTCCACTAATGGCTCTGTGTACACCTGGAGAGAAGCCTTCAATGAGACCAACCAGGCAATCCGGACCATCTCTCGCTTCATGGAGGTGAGAATCTATTCTGCGGACCTCTTAGAAAAGGCTTTGGCTTCTTTCTCTGAGATGGTGCAATAAGGTTTGGATTGGAGTAAAGTTTAGAAATAATGTGTCATCTTATTTACAGTAGTATCCCTCCACCTAACACAGGGTGTAATGTACAAAAAGGTACTCAATGAATGTTAGTTAAATGACTGAATGAGTAAATCAACAGACCTAACTTCTAGCTTTTTTCTATCTGACTCAAGAATGTCTCTATCCATCGTTTTCTAGGTTTTCCTGTGTTTTGATATCCCAATACCTAATGGCAACAAAGCATTCCCTTAAAAAAGCATTACTTATGAAACTTACCTAAAATCTAATAGGACCGATTACACTTTAAAAATTGAGTCCTAAAAATGATGTGACTTAATAGGGACAAATGAAAGGTTTTTTTGTTCTGTTTGGTTAGTTGTTATGACTCAAAATTAACTAAGAAAACAGAAGTGAAAATGAGGTTTAAACCTCTTTCCCTCCACAAAAATCAGTATAGGTAACTTACCTCTAAATACTTCCAACATTTCCCTTAAATTGCAGTTAAAAACCAAAACAACCCATTTTCAATTGAATATTGGAGAATGACTTGAGAGAGGAGTAGAGAGGGAGGATAAAAAAAGTCATGCACTGAGCGCTTCTCTCTTAGCATGGATTCTGCCTTGGCCACTGCTTGTTTTCCTGGCCATCGGCATTCTCATGTCGGCTGTTCTTCCTTCAGTGTGTGAACCTGAACAAGCTGGAACCAGTGGCAACAGAGGTTCTGCTCATCAACAAGTCCATGGAGCTACTGGATGAGCGGAAGTTCTGGGCTGGGATCGTGTTCACTGGAGTTGCTCCTGGCAGTGTTGAGCTGCCCCATCACGTCAAGTACAAGATCCGGATGGATATTGACAATGTGGAGAGGACGAATAAGATCAAGGATGGGTAAGCTGAATCCCCCCATCATACCAGCCAGTCTTGGGAAAGTCAAGAGCAGCTAATGTGAGTGGAGGTACTTTATTTTAACTAATAATTTGGTAAAAATTTCCAACAAAGTATAACTGAAATTGGTGGCATGATTTTGGTGTAACTGGCTCATTCATTGTGGAGACAACTATTTCAAAGGTCTTAAAATATCATTATCTTTTGGTTCAGCATTTCCATTCAAGGGAATTAGTCCTGAGGAATTAAATCAACAGGAAAAAAAGACATTAGATTCTCTGTGCTAGCACTATCCCTTTCTATAAAAGGGAGCAAATAAGCAAGATAAAAGGGAATGGTTAAGTAAATTTTGGCCCGTGTACTTGTTGCAATGTTAGGGAACTAACGGAGGGGGGAAAACCCAAACCAACAAGTGGTTTGCTCATTCTGATTATATTTATTTAAAAACGTGTGTATGTGTCAGCTGAGACCAGAAAGTAAGATACAGAAATAAGAAAAGTGGCTCTGTAATGGTGGTAGGATTGTGGGTGACTGAATTTTTTTTATTGTATGGTTCTAAGGAATGTTTGATCGCCTGTGGTTTGATTTAAGGTACTGGGACCCCGGTCCTCGGGCTGACCCCTTTGAGGATATGCGGTATGTCTGGGGGGGCTTCGCGTACTTGCAGGATGTGGTGGAGCAGGCAATCATCCAGGTGCTGACGGGCACAGAGAAGAAAACTGGCATCTACATGCAGCAGATGCCTTACCCCTGTTACGTTGATGACATGTAAGTTACCAGCGAGCCACCACCTTTGCTTAACTGGTTAACACTGTCCCCAGGTGGTGTGTACACACACACGCACACACACACACGTCAAGGGAGGAAACAGAATGATTATATTTATTTTATATGTGTATTGACACGGGTCAAAAAATTGGTTAAAACAAGATTGCAGCTACTGCAAAAAAAAAAAAAATTGTTTTTGGAATTCTGTGGGAATTTCAGGAAATAAGATGCCAGATGTAGGTAGCTGACAGTTTGAGCCACGTCACCAGTAATCCTCACTCCTTTCTAGTCCATGGTTACCAGAACTTTTATTTTTTTATACTCCATCCTTTCAGTCAAAATCAGCCCAATCTGCAAGTTTAAGATGTGTCATGACGAGCACATGCCAAACACATCCACACATCCTCACGTCCCCCAAACACAGAGGCACAGCGTTCTAGACCTATAAAAGCAGACTTTGTGTCAGTTTTTCTTCTTCCTCTCTATAAGTGGTAAACCACATTTTCAAACAATGCAAATAAAACCGAACAAGGCCTTTTTATCTTAGACATTTTAGATAATCTTTTAGTGCTTAGTCACTGCTGCCAGGTTCTCACTGTGGGGACTGTGCCTTTGGAGCCAGTGATTTCTTGTGAGAGAGAGAATAGGCAGAGGTGTAGTTATTGCAAGCATCTGAAATATGTCATGTCTCTTCTGAATTCTGGAAACTCTCTTATTCTCTGTTGTGTAAGGGAGAGTGTGTGTGTAGAGATCCAGAGTGCAGAAGGAGCAGGGTTCCTCTCCTTGTATTTCTCCCTGCTTTGCATTGAACAACCCATTTCCTTGCAGGGCTCACTCTAGCTTTTCTAGGTCACCTGGATTTATCTTGTTTTTCACCTTCAGAAAGATTAGCCAGTATTTTCCAAAGGAAGACTTTTCCAAAGACCCCCTAAGCCAAGATTTACTCTAGAAAGGATGTATTAAGATGGGAACACGATGAGAGGTCAGAGGCATTCAGAGCCTTGGCCTATTGTCACGTAGCCAGTTAAGTGCGTAAGTGGTAAAGCTGGGCCTTGAACCTTGAGTTTCAGAGCCCAGATTCCGTGTTCCTTTCACTTCACTGCCTTTTCTGTTCTGCTTTGGAAATCTGAAGTATTACTGAAAAGAGCTGCCTGAAGGGTATTTCTGCACCACCTGTCGTTAACAGTTATGCACGGCAAGCTGATAGTGAGATGGCCTTGAAGATGTTGAACTTTCATGACAGAATGAGTCGGTGTTGTTTTGTTGGTTTTGTTCTAGTACTTTAAAGTCACCCCCATTTAGCTTAATGACATCTGAGAGCCATCTGGTTACTAAAGCAAGCCCTCAAAGAAGTTTTCTTTGTCATCACTTTGTTAGCAGTGTCATCACTGCGTCACCCCACTCACGAAGCGCAACTGTCAGGGTGCACAGGTCTGCCCATCTCGGGCTCAGTACTGGTGCTTTCTCTTGCATGCAGATCCAGAGGTGTTGGCCCAGGAGCCTGGCTTACGCTCACCTTTACTCCTCCCCCCGCCCTTCCAGCTTCCTGCGGGTCATGAGCCGGTCAATGCCCCTCTTCATGACGTTGGCCTGGATCTACTCTGTGGCTGTGATCATCAAGGGCATCGTGTACGAGAAGGAGGCGCGGCTGAAGGAGACCATGCGCATCATGGGCCTGGACAACAGCATCCTGTGGTTCTCCTGGTTCATCAGCAGCCTCATCCCCCTGCTCGTGAGCGCCGGCCTGCTGGTGGTCATCCTGAAAGTAAGGCTGCCTCACCGGCCCCTCCCTGCCCCCCGTGGGCCACGTGAGCAGAAGAAAGGCACGGATTCTTTGGAGGGGAAGGGGTCATATGTGCTGTTCCCTGCAATTCCCTCATTTTATAGTTGGGGAAGGGGAGACCGAGAGAAGGGCAGCAGCTTGTCCAGAGTCAACCCAGCTGGTTAGCAGCTAAGCAGGACTGAACCCAGGGGTCTTGTGTCCCAAGTGAGCACAAGCGTAACTACGCCATGCTGTTTGGCAATGGTTCATGGCAGCATCAGAGTTACTCATTTTCCTAGATGTATTGGGTGGTAATTCTGCCAGAATTTCTAAAAACCATACTCAGAAGCATAGATATTGTTGCACGTTAGGATTTTCTGGAAGCAGAGGCTGAGGCAGAGTTTGGGTATGGGTATTTCTTAGGGATCCACACCTCTAGAGGGGATGGGGAGGATACAGGATTGAGCAGAGGGAAGAGTTGAACTGTGACGCACGGCCAACCCCCCGGGCACTCTTGCCGTGGAGCTGAAATGTCCAGCCCTTTAGGTTACCCCAAGGCCTCCCTCCCTGACACCCCATAGACCCAGGCCCTTCCATTAGTCATTGGAAGGGTGTGCCCCAGGGCCAGGCAGCTGTCTGCAGCTGGGACAAACCTAGAGGGGTTGACACCTGAGGCTGTCTGCTGACAGCCAGACAACAAGCCCTTCCTTGAAGGGGACTCTGTACAGTGCAGTTCTGTGTCCACCCCTTACATTAATAGGTTTATATGCCATTTTTTTCACAATCATTTCATTTAAGGATGCATTGTTTAAAAAAATAAATGTTTTTAAAAGTGGAGGGGTGCAAAGGGAAAGGAAGTAACATTTAATACCAGCTACTATTCATTACAAATGAGCGCTTACTGATTGCCAAGCACTGTTTAAAGCACATACGTGTGCTGTCTTGTGATATCCTCACTAAATAACCCATTTAACATACAAGGAAATGAGGCCAAGGAAGGTTAAGGACTTCACTGGGGTCACCCGACACTGTGGCAGAGCAGTTCTTGCTAAAGTCAAGCCCCCCTCACGCTCTGATGTCTGACTGCCAGGGCTGAGCTATGTGGCCCGGGTGGAGGTCCTGTGGCTGGTGGGTGAGAGCCACTCTGTGACAGCTGAGTGCTGGTAGGTCCTGCTAAAATAGAACCAACTGCTAGAGAGACACTTGAAGAGTCCACAGAGTTTGGATAATTGCGGGGATCCAGAATCCATAGCACGTTCTCATGGGGGATGTTAAGATGGCCTGACCATTTTCCTTGGCTTTCGGAGGAAGAAGCCATGTGGGATACTGTCTCCCACAATTCTGTCTTGGTGCCAAGAGTCGTAGTCCTTATAGAAGAAGGAGAATCCAAGTGATACTATTTCTTGGAAAAACAAAGAACAAAATTGTCTGTTGAGATGAACCTTGGTGAATATCAAGCCTGGACTTTGTTTTGTTTCTGGCTGTACCATGACTTTGATGTGTGGTCTTGGGCTAGTCATTTCCCTTCAGTAGATTTCAGTTCACTCATCAGAAAAATGAACAGCACTGTTCCTCTGTATTGTCTTCAAGATGAGCAGGAATAAGCCCTGGCTGCTTCCCATAGATCATTGCTTATTGACAGTCTCTTATTGGGTCTCTTCCTTCCCAGTTAGGAAACCTGCTGCCCTACAGCGACCCCAGTGTGGTGTTTGTCTTTCTGTCCGTGTTCGCCGTGGTGACCATCCTGCAGTGCTTTCTGATCAGCACGCTCTTCTCCAGAGCCAACCTGGCGGCAGCCTGTGGAGGCATCATTTACTTCATGCTGTACCTGCCCTACGTCCTGTGCGTGGCGTGGCAAGACTACGTGGGCTTCACACTCAAGATCTTTGCGGTGAGTAACTCTGGCCCTTCTGCAGTAGCTGCAGTCACAGCCGCACCTGGTATTTCACTTCTGCTTTATAGTCCAAGCTGAGAACAGAAGATAAGAGATTCTCTTTCCAACGGGACTTGAACCTCAGTTCTAGATTCTATGCTCCTTGAAGGCAGGAACTGTGTCTTATTCAATTGCTTATTTTTAGTCCTCTGAGTGAACACTGGTTGAATTGAATCCAATGGTATTTTTTAGGGAGCCAGACTGCACTGCATGCGGTAAATGACACTGGGGAATGCCTTTAGACAATAGGGGCCAGCTCTACCTTTTGTCTCCCAGCTCTGTTGGCTGTGTTAAGCTCGCCACAGTCGTAGCCACAGATAGAACTGAAAGCTCTTGAGATCAGAAATGGCTCCTTCTGGACTCTTGTCTCCCTTGTGTCCAGTATGGGGTTTCACTTGAGTAATATTTTCTGAACTTCAAGACTGAGGAGCAGGTACTCCATCTCCCTGCAAATCCCGGACTTCACTTCCCTCCCTTGTACAGAGGAGGAGAGGCCTCCGAGGGGGTGCAAGTCCCTATAAGACTGAATTGTCCTGAGTTTTTTGCAGGACGCTCCAGATGCCTCTGTCTGGACCCGTTAGACATCAGCAGCCCCAGACAGGCTCCTATGGCACTGAGCCATCACTGGCCGAGCAGGGAGCTTGAGAGGACCGTGTGTGTGTGTAAGGGACAGGATTGCTGAGCCCTTGAGGCACCTTCGGAAGCATAGAATTCTAAAAGTTTTACATTCCATCATACATGCATTTCTGAAATGTGTGAGCATAATGAGTGCTTATAAATAGAATCATTTTATATGCTGCCAGGGAGCCCACTCCCCTAAAGGGACTCTGTAGATAAATATTTCCATATCTTGCAATTGATCCATTTGGCAACTTCACCTTTCTCCAGGTGACATTTGCATTAGCAGTGTTAGGAGAATGAGAAACAAGGAGATGGATGAGTGACTTCTGCATCTTTCTCACAGAGCCTGCTGTCTCCTGTGGCTTTTGGGTTTGGCTGTGAGTACTTTGCCCTTTTTGAGGAGCAGGGCATTGGGGTGCAATGGGACAACCTTTTTGAGAGCCCCGTGGAGGAAGATGGCTTCAACCTCACCACCTCGGTCTCCATGATGCTGTTTGACGCCTTCCTCTACGGGGTGATGACGTGGTACACCGAGGCTGTGTTTCCAGGTACACTGAGCTTCCACACTGCTTTAGACATCAGCCAGGGAAATGAAATTTCTAGCTGTAATGCTTTCCTTCCTTTGTGCTGGGATTTCTGCAGGGCCTGGGTCTCCTTGGAAAGTGGTTAGGGCTTTGGACCTGTGGCAGACAGTCTCCAAGGAGAAGCATCTGATGCTAAAAGTACAGCTCTTAGTACCGACACAGCTCTCGTTTCTTGAGCACCGTGTGCCAGGCACTGTGCAGAGTGTTTTACATACCTTGGTTCATTTAATCCTCATAAGACTACTCTGAGGGAGTTACCGCTCTAGCCAGTTTTTGCAAATGAGAGAACTGTGACCCGAAGAAGTTAAATAACTTGCCTGTGGCCACAAAGCTGGTAAGAGCAGGTGCTTGGAGGTGAACCCAGGTGGGTCACACTGGGTCGGCTAGCCCAGGAGAGTCCTCCCAATGCTGACCCAGGTCTCTAATTCTGTATCCCCTGAATTACCACCAGCAAATGTTCTGTTTCCTGAGTACAGCTTGTGAATAATAAGATACATTGGCTCTCAGCCCTTGCCTGTGCTTTAATCGAATTAGTATTCATAAAAATTCATTTTTATACTTCCCTTAATAAATCTCCTTGACCAAGACCTGCCTTGGATACATTTTCATAGAAGATCAAATTCTGAGAGAGGGAAGTTTAACTCTTTCTGGTTTCACCTACTGATTTTTCTCTAAGGGAGTGTATGTGAAATGTTTTTTACGTACCCTACCTGAACTTCCCACATTGGATATGCAACTTTGTATCATACAGATCTGGATTCAAATTCTGAGTCCTCCACTTTACTGGCTGAGTGATCTTGAGTAGGCTACTTAACCCTCAGTTTCCTCATCTCTAAAGTGGGGATGATACCTGCCTCGTGGGGTTGCTGGAAAGATTCAGAGAGGTGCAAGATGTTTGTCATACACAGGAGATCTCAGCAAATGTTATTGCCTCTCCTCCCCCACCTCCAGTCCATTTTGTCCTGTCTCCAAAGGCTGTGTCAAGGAGAGAGTCAAGGAGGCTGTGTCTGGCTGGGACACCTCGGGGATGCCGGGGCGTTGCTGAGCTTTGCTCACACCTGTGCTTTGCTTTCAGGCCAATATGGAATCCCCAGGCCCTGGTATTTCCCTTGTACTAAGTCCTACTGGTTTGGCGAGGAAGGCAATGAGAAGAGCCAGCCTGGTTTCAGCCAGAAGGGAACATCAGAAAGTAAGTTCTGCTGACCCGCCCTCCCCTTAACTGCAGTGCAGCTGCCCCTACTGGCTGTGGGGGGCAAGGGGTGGCTCTCGGCCTGAAGAACCTAAAACCACCTTAGGGGCGGAGAAATCCCCTGAAGTGACCCTTTCCACATCCTCCCATGCATTTGTGTCCAGTGCTGTTGACTTATCGGGGAGTCACTATCTGGGCTTCTAAGGGACATTTCCTTTGTTCTCTTGGCTTCTAAATAAAGTGGCTCTTGATCTCTGCCTTCACCTCCGCCCACCCCATCCCCCCAAACACATATACACATACTTTTCATACTATCCTGACAACTAGAAAGAAGAGGTAAAGACAGCCGTGGTTATGGAGCCACAACCTCTCTGCCTGCCTTGTCCTGATGACAGATGCATGAGCCTGTGCAGGCTGACGCCAGGTGGCTGCCACAGAGTTTGTTCTGTGCTTCGTAATGTTCTCAGCCTGCATTACCCAGAGCGCACATCCCCTCCTGGCTTCTGACTGTAGGTAGTGATGCCCACAGTTGAGCAAAGGCGCTGCCTTCTGGGCTTTTTTGCTCAGGTTCTTGGAGGGGAGCTCTTTGTGTTCGGTATAGCTTCCTAAGTCGTTCATAAGTCGCTCCCCTGCTGATCTCTTCCGTGCCCTTCCCCCAGTCGCCAGTGGTGAAGTATGATGTTCCTTAGCATGGCTCACGAGTTTCCTTACCACCCGCCATTGCCCGCTGTGCCAGCTGCTTCACCTGCTCTTCCTTCTCTTCTTCCCCAGCCTCCTCTCTGCACCTTTATCACTGTATTCCCATCACCAACACTAGTGCCCAGATAGGCCCTAGATAAATATTTGTTGCCCGTCTGCCTGAGAAACCAGAACTAGCCGTGGAGAGAGGACACTTGTAAAAGTGCAAGCACAGCCCCCTGCGTCTTGACACTCCACTTGTCAGTGTCTTCTGTGGGCTCATTTCCATCCTGTGTCTTCTCACAGTCTGCATGGAGGAGGAACCCACCCACCTGAAGCTGGGCGTGTCCATTCAGAACCTGATGAAGGTTTACCGAGATGGCATGAAGGTGGCAGTTGACGGCCTGGCCTTGAATTTCTATGAGGGCCAGATCACCTCCTTCCTGGGCCACAATGGAGCTGGGAAGACCACCACCATGTAAGAAGAGGGTGTGGCTTTCTCAGAATCAGCCACAGGAAGCTTCTGTCCTACAGTTAGAAATTCATACCTAAGAACATTGCCTTGGTTAGCGGGCCGAGGGCAGAGCATATGAGGAATTGATGAATGTAAAAATATTATCTAATCACAAGAGTGCTTTCCAAATGCTGGTTTTTCTCTAGATATTATTTCTTCAGGTTAAAATAGGCTGGAGGCCTTTAGATGACCTTTCCCCTTCGGTTCTCAGAATTCTGCAGTATTTTTGGAACCTGAGACTGTGACAAGTCTGAGAAAGGGTCTCCTTTGGAGTTGGTTTGGTCAGAACTGTGAGGCAAGAATGTGGAAAGAGAGATTGGCTGTACTGGTGGGAGGAAGTAATTTCCAGGAACTCTGTCTCTAAGCAGATGTGAAAAACAGCTGGGAAGCTGGCTGGCTGTATGATTGCCTTCTCTGGGACCTATAAGGACCTTATAATGGACAGCTTCAGAAGGGAGCACAGGCTATAAACACACCAGAGTTACCTCAGTGGCTTTCAATGTAGTCCATCAGCCATTGCAGAGGGCATTTTGGTGGGGGAAGAGGTAATCTCTTCCTCCTGTTTTTCTTTTATATATTTTTAGCACACAAAATCAATATATTATGAACATTGCAGAAACTCTTTAAAAGGTGTGCAAAAATCCTAACTGCCAAACACAAAAATTACTTTTATCTTTGAATCATTTGTTCTGCTTTGTCCCTTTTACTTGGACGTGATTTTAAGCATAAAAAGAATATATGCTTTAAAGTGTACTTCCCATTGTAAATTGGAATCTTCATTTAAAAAATGCTTGTGCTGAAACTGCCATTTCCAACACATAGGCCCACTCCTAGCTGTTCACTGAAGCAGAGACTCCTTCGCTGTGTCGGGGTCTGTTGGAGTCCATTAGGAAGGAACGGGGCTGGAGGGTTGCTGCCTCTGCCGTCTGCCCGGACGCTGCCGCCTGGAGTGGAGCTTCAGGGCAGGAGGGCCAATGCTGACTCCTGTACTTTAACGTTTCTGTCCTTAGGTCAATCCTGACCGGGTTGTTCCCTCCCACCTCGGGCACTGCCTACATCCTGGGGAAAGACATTCGCTCCGAGATGAGCACCATCCGGCAGAACCTGGGGGTCTGTCCCCAGCATAACGTGCTGTTTGACATGTGAGTACCAGCACAGCCTCTTTGGAGGTGTGTCGTGAGTCACGGGTAGAGTGAGACTTAAGCATTTTACCACCTTTGGGGGTAGCAGGCCTCACCTTCCTGGATGTGTTGAGGGCAGGTCGTCCTCTGACGTTGGAAAGTAACAGAATTGTGGGATGGGGGATGTTATATCAGTCCAGCTGGCGGATGTAGGCCTGGGAAACGGTGCTGTCCGTTCCTGTCCTTCTGGAGTAAGGACATCCTCTCTCCCCGCACACCCTCCCTGAGACCACCACCGCTCTCACCTGGCAGTAGCTCAGGGCCCTTGATATGTGGGTCCCGTGTTTCCTGCTCAGAACTTTTGCCCCCGTTCAGCCTGCCCATCACCAAGCAGGGAGCCGCCATGGTGAGCAGAGAGAGACCTGAGCTCTGTGACCTTGGGCGAGGGCATTCCCCCTTCTGGGCCCCGGTTTCCTCACATCTACAGTGAGCAGCCCGGGCTTGTGTCCTCCACAGGGGCCCCCCTTCTCTCAGGGCTGAAGTCCTTCGAGGTTCAGGAGGGCTGCTCCAGGCTAAGGCCGAGGCAGCTCCTTGGTTGGTGGGGCCTTGGGGAGGGCCCTTTGAGGACCTGCCACTGCCTGATGCGCAGGGGCCAGGCCAGTGGGGAATCGGGTGGACGTGACCTGTCACCCTGCTGCTTTGGCTTCTCAAGTAGCTCATGTGACTGCTCACTGCTCACTGAATCCTTCCTGGAGATTATTTTTCAGAAATTGATAAAGTTAAAAAAAAAAAAAAGGGAAAGAAAAATGTGCCTGTCGTGTTCTGGGGGAGGAGGCACTGTGTTCTGTGCGTCCTGGGGGCCCGGAGCCGACCTGCCCCTCTGTCCCCAGGCTGACTGTTGAAGAGCACATCTGGTTTTACGCCCGCCTGAAAGGGCTCTCGGAGAAGCACGTGAAAGCAGACATGGAGCAGATGGCCCTGGATGTTGGTTTGCCGCCAAGCAAACTGAAAAGCAAAACAAGTCAGCTGTCAGGTGAGGCCCAGAGCTGCCTTCCTCATCCAGCGCACCGCCCCCCGCCGCCCCCGACTACACACACGCAGGAAATACAGCTGCCGCCGTGTCCCCGGCTTCCCCGGGGAGTGGGAGGGTGGGTCAGAAACGTGTTCCGGGCTTGTCCCCAGGTGGGCACCTCCATCCCTCTTTCGCCACCTCTACTGTCACTCACTGGGGCTGGCCCTGGATCCTGTCTCCTCTGTCCCATAGGTGGAATGCAGAGAAAGCTGTCTGTGGCCTTGGCCTTTGTTGGGGGATCCAAGGTTGTCATTCTGGATGAGCCCACAGCCGGCGTGGACCCTTACTCCCGCAGGGGAATATGGGAGCTGCTGCTGAAATATCGACACGGTAACTGATGTGTATTTACTCTGCCTTCTGGGCTGGGAGGCGGCGGGATGGAGGGCGGGCCTCTGGAAGAGTATCTCGTGGCTGTTCCTGCTAGAGCAACAGAATTGCTTTCAAGGAAAATGTGGAGCTGAGCTCTGAGCTCAGCCCTGGTATGCTAGTGGGAGGCCTGGTTTCCAAGACCCTTAAGTTTACACTTCATTCCCTAGGGTCCTGCAAGGAGAAGAGAAATGGGGATAAAGGGCATCCTCTGTGGGCCCCCAGGGCTCCCTCCAGCCTAGAACTTTCACATGTACAGTATAATTATGGTCTCCTATAGACTGAGAGTCCCAAGAGCCGAGGCTGTGTTGTCCTTCATCTCTGTCCCCACGTGGGGCACTAAACTTGTGTGCTGACAGAGTGGATGAATGGATGGGAGAGGTGCAGTCAGCTTAGAGGGGTAGAAGGTACACAAGGTGGTACAGTATGAGGGGCACGGCTTTGGAGTCAGCTTAAGCTGGCCCGAGACCTTGGAAAAGTCATTTAACTTGCCTAAGCTTCTTTATCTATAATGGTGGGAGTGCCCACCTTACAGAGGATTAAGTTAAATGAGAATGCACCTAGACCACGTAGCACACTGGTGGCATGTAGCAAGTTCCCAAATAAACATTCCCGTCCTTCATTCTGTGAGGGTGCAGCAGCCGTCCTCACAGCACTGCCATCCTGGGGGTCATGAGCACACAGGCCTCGGGGTCTTTCTCCCAGGCTTTCCCCTGCTCGTATTTCTGTAGTTCTGGCCACTGTGATGAGTGAGGACAGCAGGCCTCACCTGTGCCTCGTCCTTGTGTTTGTTCCCGGCAGGCCGCACCATTATTCTCTCCACACACCACATGGATGAAGCGGACATCCTGGGGGACAGGATTGCCATCATTTCCCATGGGAAGCTGTGCTGCGTGGGCTCCTCCCTGTTCCTGAAGAACCAGCTGGGGACAGGTTACTACCTGACCCTGGTCAAGAAGGATGTGGAGTCCTCCCTCAGCTCGTGCAGAAATAGCAGTAGCACTGTGTCGTACCTGAAAAAGGTGAGTTGCAGCCTCAGTGCTGGGCTGGTGCCGGGTCCGGGGAGTCGGGACTCATTGGCTGTGAGTGCCTTGTCCACATCTGCCCCATTCTGCCACCTTGACGCCACCATCTCCCTGCTCTGTGTCCCTTTGGAGTCACGTCGTACCTCCTACATGGAAATCTCTGGAGACTTCTGTTCCCATCGTGCTAGCTCTGTTGAATCCCATTTCCTTTTTCCTATGGAGACACAATGAGTGATGGAGAAGGCCCTTAGAGGACTTAATTTTGTTGAAGAAGAAAGACTTACCAAGAGTTAAGAGCCTTAGCTGAAGAATGCCCTGCTGTGCCTGCTCATTACCTTTAAATCTTATTGACCTTAACTTCTAAACTACAAAACGGCAAATATGTATTGAGCACCGATTTCATGCCAGACACTCAGTCTGGCAGACTCTGGCCATAAAGGAAAATCATGATAATAGTTGCAGCATTGTTATCATTTGCAAACTTTTTTTTTTTTTAATCTATCATCTCAAAGTACGGAGCAACCCTGGGAAGAAGGTATTGCAATTATTATCCCAGATGAGAGAAGTGAGGCTTGTAGGGATTTGGTTTATTCAGGGTCACCCAGCAAGTGAATAACAGAGGTGGGACCAGAGCCCAATAACCAGGTACATTTTCCCCTGTACTGCAGTACATGCCTGAGATTTATTTGTGTGTGCAAACACTGGCACCCAAAACACTTACATCCCAACCTTGACCTCCTGTCCACTTATTTATCTTTTAACTAATGTCTTGTGAGTCAAAGTGCAGTCTGAGACAAGCAGCATCAGGATCACTTGGGAGCTCATTAGAAATGCGGAAACTTGGGCCCAACTCAGACTTACTAAATTAGAATCTGCATTTTAACAAGGTCCTCTGGTGAGGAAACACAAATTAAAGCTTGAGAAGCACTGAGCTAGATAACCAGGCAGGTAAATCCCACGCCCAAGACGGTCGATGAGGGCCTGGTTACGGCACTCACTGGCAGGCCACAGTTCTTTTGAGAGCTCTGCTTCCCGTGCACACAGCCCATGTGTCAGATCAGACAGTGGCCTCAGAAGCCAAGGCAGCCCAGTTGCATGCCTCCCAGGAGAAGCCCTTTGCTCCGTTTCTCACACGATAGAGCTTCTCGGAAGCCCCCAGGTGAAGGTGGTGGGGCTGCACCTTGCTCGGTCCCTGACCCATTCTTACCTCCTTCTTTGCCATCAGGAGGACAGTGTTTCTCAGAGCAGTTCTGATGCTGGCCTGGGCAGTGACCATGAAAGTGACACGCTGACCATCGGTAAGGACTCTGGGGTTTCTTATTCAGGTGGTGCCTGAGCTTCCCCCAGCTGGGCAGAGTGGAGGCAGAGGAGGAGAGGTGCAGAGGCTGGTGGCGCTGACTCAAGGTTTGCTGCTGGGCTGGGGCTGGGCGGCTGCGGGAGAGGGTGCAGCTTGGTGGCGGATCGGCCTAACGCTTGCCGGGGAGCCTGGGGCTTGGTCTGGGAGCTGGCAGGGCAGTGTCCCAGAGCGCTGAGATGATTGGGGGTGGGGGATCCCTTAGGGGAGTGGGTCTGGCTGCACACTGGACACTGGAGACCAGGGATGTGGAGCTGAGTAGCCAAGCTGATAGTGGAGGGATTGGGGTTCAGTGCCTAGGGAGGGTGAGTGCCCAGGAGAGGAGCAGCCCGCTAGATTTCCCTCAGGAGGTGTGTATAGGAGGCCAGTGTCACCAATAACACATATGGAACAGAAGCCTTTACCCTGGCCATGTCTTCCCCATCCTAACAGCTGGCTGTTCTCAGGAAGGCTCTGGCTCTCCTTCCATGCCCTGTTTGATTAACCCTCTATTGAGGGACATAGAAGGAGCCTCCTTTAAAAGGTTAGAGAAAGGTGAAGACTCTTTTACAGTTCCTTTAGTCAAGCTTTCCATTGAAGAATCCTAGCACTTAGGCAATAGCCACCAGGCTTTCCACCTCAGAAGGCCGGCCAGCCAGCCAGCCAGCCAGCCACCCACCATGCACTGAGGACCTACACTGTGCCCAGCTTTGGTGATACAAAGGTGAATAAGACCCAGCCCCCGCCCCCAGGAACTCTCAGGCCAGAGATGAACACGTGGAATGACTTCAGTGTCTGGACCATGTGTGCTGTGTGGGCAAGCGGGCTCCTAAGGAGTAAGCAAGGGAGAAGGTGGAGAGCGGCCGGCCCCTAATGGGGGGCCTCGGAGTTGGCTGAGCCACGTCTGTTCTTTGGTCCCTACAGATGTCTCCGCGATCTCCAACCTCATCAGGAAGCATGTGGCCGAGGCCCGGCTGGTGGAAGACATTGGGCATGAGCTGACCTACGTGCTGCCCTATGAAGCCGCCAAAGAGGGAGCCTTTGTGGAACTCTTCCATGAGATTGATGACCGGCTCTCAGACCTGGGCATCTCCAGTTATGGAATCTCAGAGACTACCCTGGAAGAAGTAAGTTTGGTGGCTGGCTGTCAGAATAGAGCAGGGCCAACGATCCCGGCACCAGACAGGCAGCCTGCGTGCCCACTGGGAATAGGATCACCGTGGACCCAGGCATTGAGTGCTTAGGTCGTTGGCATCTGGGTTGTGTTGGTTCCAGTTAACCCTTTAAGGTTGTAGTGGGAGATACAGGAAAGAAGTATTAGGATCGCTCCCTGGTATGACTGTGTCATGACCATGCATCGGAAATGGCCAACATTTATGGAAAATCTACTTGTGCCATGTGCTAACCTTGGTGTGTTTTGTTTTTTTCAATCATTGTAACTTCGTTTAATCCTCATAACAAGATGAGAAAGTTGACATTCAGGGACGCCAAGCAAGGATTCAGAATCAGGGGTTTTGGGCTTCAAAGCTCATACTCTATTACTGTGTAAGCAGTGCATCTCTTTAGAGAGACCTCAAGGGCTGGAAGGGGTATAAACTTGTCTGGCCCAGTAGTCTCCAGGTTTGACTGTGCAGCAGAATCATATGAGAATATTATTGACAATAAAAAATCCAAGGCTCAGCTCCAGGGTCTTTGAATCAGAATTTCTGGAGGTAAGGCCTTAATGTCTGTGCTTTTATTGCATGCTTCCTGGGCAGCGTCTGGGCAGATCAGAGTTTGGGAATCATTGGTCTAGTTCAGGTTGTTTTCTGATGTTGGAATCCCTGCCATAACATTTCTAGTGATGGGAACCCCTCCTCTCTTGATATCCTGTCTCGGATAACCTATCACAGTGCTAGCCTACTCAAAGATTTGGGGCCATAGACTTGGAAGAAGCCACTTGGCTCATTCCCTGTAGGTTCAGAACAAATTCCTCCTTCCGCAGTGTCCTCATGTCATAGCTTTAATTTGAAAATGATTGTCTGGATTGATAGCTCTCACCATTGGGGAAATGTTCTCTGGTAAAAACGGCTTCTCTCCCAAGTGACTCTGACAAAGTGTTATCAATAAACGAGTCTTCTACGTTTTGTCTTTAGGGGCTAGCATACCATTCAGTCATGTAATAATCATGGCAGTTGCTCTCACAATGTGGTGCTTATGACACTCTCACTCACTCTTATTTTTCAGATATTTCTCAAAGTGGCTGAAGAGAGTGGGGTGGATGCTGAGACCTCAGGTAACGCTCCAGGGGGGCTGCGCATTCTCTGGGCTGTGCCCCCTGTAGGCTGTCTTAGCTCACCAGGCTTGTGCCTTTCCCTTCAAATTGTTTTATGACATTCTTACTTTGAGTGTATAGATTTGTTACAGATTCAGAGTTTGTTTTGCTACAAATAAAGTGAAACATGGGGTTCCTTCCTTTTGCCTTCAGATGGCACCCTACCGGCAAGACGAAACAGACGGGTCTTCGGGGACAAGCAGAGCTGTCTTCGCCCATTTACTGAGGATGATGCTGTTGATCCAAATGATTCCGACATAGATCCAGGTCCGTTTGGGCAAGATCTTCATTCCATTGCTGGAAAGTGAATTTCTCTCTTACGTTCTTCTCCGGTGTTATCTTTCGAGGTCCTTGAACCAGGATGACAGATGCCTACAGGGTCCAAAGGGAAGAGAGAGAATGAGAAAAGCCACTGTCCCCTTTTCAGGGTTGTGTATACAGTCAAACCTGAAAGAGCCTGTCCTCACTACTTCCTTCACTGCACTGAGATCGCTCTTTCAAGATACACACACATCAAAAGATGGCCCCTCAATCCTCTGAATCCGTTTCTTATCTTTTCTCGCGTTCATTAGGTGTTTAACTGTTGAATATATGTTCTCTGAAAGGACGGAAGATTTTGAAAGAGCGAGGTGCATTTGCTTTTAGAGTTAAGTGGACCCTTAGACTTAGCTGTTTTGGATGAGTGTGTCCCTGCGTATTTGACTGGGATGGAGAAGCGGGAGGCAGGAAATGAAGCAACTATTGGTAAGAGGTCAAGCCACCGCAGTTAGAAATGGTTTGTTTAAGACAAGGATTTCTATAAAAATTTTTCAGAACAGAAACCTTCCTGACTCTTCCATGCCTGTGCCATGTGAGTGTGTGACTCTCATATTCTCCCTAACTTCATACATCGTTAGTGCTTAGATCACTGGAATGTGTCCACCTGTTACCAAAAATATAATAAATGGGAGACAGAATGCTATTGTGTGTTCTCAAGTATGTCAGCCTACTTACATGGCCTGTTTTGTAGAATATTCTGTAAGAAATTGAGGATGACTTGATTCATCTGAATGGCTTGATGTAGCACCATTATGTGTGAACATCTCTCTTCAGCTGTCTCAAAGCACCTTCATTTTTCTCTGCTCATCAGATAAGAACCCAAAGGCAGGGACTGCTGCTGTCATACGTTTGGGGTCATCCCTTTTCCTTGGATGTGAATTTGTCACCAAGGCCCTTTACTCCTTTACTTTTACCTTCAAACGCAAGCCTCCAAGGTGGTTGCTGAAGATGCTGGAGGGAGGAGCGTGGGGATGTCAAAAATGCCTGATATAATAGGTGACCTTCAGTGTTGGCTTTCTGCAGAATCCAGAGAAACAGACCTGCTCAGCGGGATGGACGGCAAAGGCTCCTACCAGGTGAAGGGCTGGAAACTCACACAGCAGCAGTTTGGGGCCCTTTTGTGGAAGAGGCTGCTGATTGCCAAACGGAGTCGGAAGGGATTCTTTGCTCAGGTGAGAAGTGCTGTTCCAGGCCAAGGACTCAGCCTTCCTTGATGGGCTGCAGGCTCCCTGACCAGTGAAGACAGGGTAGCATCATTGTTATAAGATGGACACTGGAGCCAGATGATCTGTATTTCAATCCCAGTTCTGCTTCTTGCACTCATGTATCTGTTGCAGGTTACTTTTCTGAGCCTCAGTGTCCTTATCTGTAAAATGGGGATAATAATAGTATCTATGATATAATTGTTATGAAGATTAAAATGAGTAAGTGATTAGAATGGACCTCACATTAGTAATTACCGTGTGTTAGTTTTATCGTAAAGGAGCGTATAACAAGGACAAAGTTTGGAAAAACTGGCTGGACAAATTAAACTTTCATAACTTCAGAGATGATATGCCCAGATGCACTCAACATATGAACTTATTGGAAACTTTATTTTTCTCTAAGTTGATGTTTATCTGAAAACTGATAGAAAAGATAACCAGAGGTCAGACAAAAAAAAAAAGATAAACAGAGAAGACTCATTACACTCTTGCCTGCATGTCAGTGTTTGCACGCTAACTTGCTGGGTTAGGAGGGATGAAATTATTCTACTCTATAAAATCAAGAAGTATAAAGAAGTTACAGAGATTCTTCTCTACAGACTATGTGAGTAACGCACAGAATATGAGTTTGGAGCGCATAGACTTAGGTTTGAATTCTGGTTCTGCTACTTATTGTCTCTTTGGCCTTGGGCAAGTTACTTAGTCTCCCTGAGCCCCAGTTACCTTGTTTGTTGATTGGTGATAATGATATTACTACTTAGGGTTGTAATGATAATTAAATGAGATAATGCTCATACAGTTTTTTCCCATGGAATTACTCACCTAGTGATTAATTTTCTGCATTGAAATGCGAGAACATTAGAACCAGGGGCATCATTTGGATCTTTTTTTTTTTTTTAACGGATAAATTTCTCAGGAATAAATGGAAGGAGCTTAGAGTTTGCTTATAAAGTATGTACAAGTCATTGTTTTCAGAGAAGGTACAGGTGTAAAGTTTAAGGTGGTTTAGTAAGGATTTAGATTAATCATGCTTTTTGAGGCCATCGGGGGAAGAAATAGCTGCTCTTCCCTTTCCATGGAGACAGTGCTGTAGAGTGGTTTTATCAAAGTATGGGATCTGAATGGGTCACCTAGTCTGTCTGCAGATTACAAATGAGAAGACTGAGGCCATAGGGGATGTGACTTTACATGGATACGCTTATAGTAGAGAGAGAACAAAACTGCAGGTCTTCTGGCTTCTGGTCCAGGCTTCAGCTCTCAGCTTTTGTCTGAGCTGAGCTCATGGCCAGTGTGGTCTTTCTCAGGTTTTCAGGGAGGAGAGGGACCTGGTGTTCTAAGTCACTCTGACATGTGACCACTGTTTACTCTGTGAAGTTCTCAGCTTGGTGCCCCTGTCAGGGGGCCACAGCCTCTGGCCTTGTGTTGCCAGCTTCCAGAAATGCCCCGGAGGGAAGAGGTTTAGATTTCAGTCTCCATTGCTTCCAACCTGCCAAGAATGCCTTGGTGGAGCTGCGCCCTGTGCACACTCGAGTGATGGCTGGTTGGAGAGGCTGGCTGGACTCACGGGGCCTTGCCCTGTGGCCTTCTTTCTAACCCTTGTCCTTCTCCTGCGATTTCTCTTCCCTCCTACCCCCTGGTTATAGATTGTCCTGCCGGCTGTGTTTGTCTGCATCGCCCTGGTGTTCAGCTTGATCGTGCCACCCTTTGGCAAGTACCCCAGCCTGGAACTTCAGCCCTGGATGTACAACGAACAGTACACATTTGTCAGGTATGCGTTTGCCTTCTGCGCCCAAGGTGGGAGGAGACCTCAGGCCGACCAGGGTGTTTACTGTGCTGAGGGCCAAGGGGAGGGGGACTCGAGAGTTACACAGGGGCATGGATTTATCAGCTGTGGCTACAGCCCTCACACAAACTCATGTTAGATGCAACGGACAGCGGTGAACAAAACCTGAACTAACAGGCCAGTCCTGTTACCGCATTTAAACTCCATTCCTCTTTATACGCTGTTGTGAGGAACATATGTGTTTTATGTAAGTAATCTGCCCTTGCAAAAAATCTATGATTGAGCTATAATATATTTGGATTTTCATAGCTATGTCTTTATTCTGTAGTTGAACACATGGCTTCCATACACTCAGAGCATCGCACCTCCAGGTTCTTGTTTTCTGCATGATGCAATTTGTGTATTTATTATTTAGTCTTTTAGCTTATAGATAATAGCTAGCTAGTGTTTGTTTTTTAGACCAAATTACCAGCTACTCTGTAACAATGCAACGCTTCAAACAAAAGGACAAAGGAATTTCTGCATCACGTTATACAGGAGTTTTCCTCAGTCCCATAGTATTTGTAGATCTTTTGATTGGGGAAGCATGTCAGTGATGTCAAAGGGAAGCTTTAAAGAAAAAAAAAAAATATATATATATATATATGTATATAATATAACATGTGACTCAGTCTCTTTTTGTCTAATCCCATGCTTCCTTCCTATTTAGTGAAGGTTTACTTTCTTCTTTCCTTTCCAAGCTGCTGACCTTGTATTGCCCGGGGCTGTGGAGCACATGGGCTTGTTTTGTGTTTGTAACCTGTGCTCATCATTACTTGTGTTTTCCAGTTGTCCGTGCAAACATTCAACCCATAACATCAGCCTGCCCTTTCCTAGAAAACCCCTGTGATCTATGCCTAATGGGTAATTGTGAAAGTACTTTTGAAATACCGATCTTTAATGAATTCATGTACTTCACACTAAAATATGTACGTAAATGTGTGTATATATGTGGGTGGGTGTGTACACATGCGTGTGCACATCTCTATACATATAACTTACTTACACAAGCTCCACTTTGGAGTGCTGTATGTTACCTTGATAACAAATATATGGCCAGAGGCTGAGTTCCTTGTGGGTGGGTTCTGTGTTTTATTCATTTCTGTTTCAAGAGTTTGGCACACAGGAAGCACTTAATAAAGTGTTTAATTAAAAAACAATTGCCTTTCTCCTCCCGATTCATGGTTTTAATGAATTGCTGAGCTGGCTGCCTCTCATGTACCTACAGTAATGATGCTCCTGAGGACGTGAGCACGCAGGAACTCTTGAGCGCTCTCACCGGAAATCCTGGCTTCGGGACCCGATGTATGGAAGGAAACCCAATCCCGTGAGTGCCACTTGAGCTGTGAGCCCCGCCGCGGCTGGCTTCTTGTGCTTGTCATCTGCTTTGATCTCTAAACTGCTTTTATCATTTGTATGCCGCATGGTGACTACCATCATTTGCCCTTTGAAACATTTTTTATTTTAAAAAAGTTAATATAGAGATTTAATCAGACCACCCAGGAACAAACATAACAAACTAGGAGAGTCTTCTAGCATCTTGCCAGGCAAATGACTATAGACGTTTGTTTACTGCTTTAGAAATGATTATTTAATTTAAATAGTACTTTATACTGATCCCTTTTCTCCAGCTCCTATACCTAAGTGCAGAGACAGGCTCCCATTATGTATAATTGGCAGTTTTATCAGCTGTTTCACTCTAAAAGCCTGAAAAGATGGCATCGTTTTTATAAAAATGGACATTTTCTTCTTTCAGAGTTGCGTATTTTTATCATATTCTCCTTCAAAGTCCTTTAAAAAAAAGTAGGCAATGTATAAATAAATTCAGTGAAATACCCATACGACTCTTAAGCGTATATGGGAGGAAGGCATGGCCAGAGATCTCTGTGAGTAAAGACAGTGAAGAGAGGTGAGGTGCTTCTGAGAGAACCCAGTGATGGCAGAGGCAGGTTCAAGTTTCCAGGCTCAGGTAGGTTGTTAACCACGGACTGAGGAATTATGGAGAGTGTGGGAAGGTGTGGAAAGATTGGAGAAGGCCTAACTTGAATGCCAGGTTTTGAAGCGAAGATAGTGAACCTGCAGGAGACAGACCAGTGAGCACACCGCCTGTGTGTGCAAGGTTTCAGAACAGATTGCTAAATGGATAGCCATGATGTACTTGTCAGCTCTTATCAATTGAGTACTTACTGAACATTTGTTAGTACTCAATACTTGCTAAGTGATCAATCCTGACAGTATCAGTTCCTAAAAACAAGGTGACCAAGGTGGAGACGGTCAGAGATTTCACAGGACTTCTGATGAGGTTCCACTTGGAAGTTCTCTGTAGGCGAGAGAGGAGAGTGAGATGAGGCAATAACGCAGGTAGGTGGACTCATCACGTGCCAGCTTCACAGTAGGGACTCATAGATGGACGCCAGCCAAGGAAGGATCTGCAGGAGCCAGGCCTGCGTTGAGAGGGGCAGGCCTGACCTCACAGGCTCGCAGCCTGGGGGCAGAGCACCCACTGACGTGTACTGGGGTCCGTCTGATGTAAGGGGAGACTTCGAGGTTTTTCAGAAAGTAGTGGAACTGATCTCAGCCAGTGATCTTGTGAAGGTTTTAGAGCTTCAGGACGGCACCATCTTAGTCTGACTTTTCCATTTAGTCCAGGTGCTTTAAAGAGAGAACTAGAGGGCAATCCACAAAACTGTTCATTTGATAGAAGAACCATCTAAAGACTGTGGCTCTGCTTCAAACTGTAGAGTTTTGAAAGGGAAGGGATGTTAGAAATGCCTTGTTGAAATGGAAGGGATGTTAGAAATGCCTTGTTGAAATGTGACTTATTGAGACAAGTCATTTCATACTTTTGTTTCACTAGTGGAGAAAATAGGCAAGTGACTTACTGATGGTATCACAGTAATTCAGAGCTCAAGTCAGACGTAAAGGCCTGTCTTTAGTTACCTGGGATGCTTGCAAACAGCCTAGCTCTTCATGTACCGACAACTCTGACCCCTACGAACTGTGCCCCTCCCAATTCTCTACTCGTTTTGAAACATAAAGTGCATCCTGACACTCTCCACCAGGCTTCAGCACGTTGAACATAAAATGCAGACTCTTCGCAGGCCTGTGTCCTGTGGCTTCCGCCTCCCTCTCCTCCTCAGCTCCCATCACGCTCCCTTGTACTCATCACATTCCAGCCCCACTGCCTTCCTGTTGTTCCTTAAACGTAGAAGCTCAGGACCTTTTCGCCTGTGCTCTGTTGCTTCTGCTTGTAATATTTTCCCCCTGAATCCCTGCCTAGCTTGTTCTCTCCCAACATTTAGGTTTTGGCTGAAGTATATGACCTCTTCACATGGTCCTTTCTCACCAGTTACTCTGCCTCTATTTTGCTTCACTTCTGGCTGTCTAAGATCATATGGTTTAATTGTTTGTTCTCGAACTCTTTCCTGGGAATACAACCTCCATGAAGGTTGTATTTGTCTTTGTCTTCTCACCCCAAATTCTCAAATAGGCAGGACAGTGTCTGGTACATAATAGATGCTCAGTGAATGTCTGTTGAGTGAACACATGGGTGAGTGATTGACTGCTGGTGATTGGATTGACTTGAGTTCAGTATATGAGCATTTAGGCCCTCTTTGTGTTCCATCATCCTTCACTGTAAATGAGTCTGTAGCTTACAAGCCTATGGCAGCAGGGAGGGGGGCATCAAATAACCAAAAGGTGAGGGGATACATGCATGTTTGCAGTTGTTATTGATTGGTCCTGTGCTCTGAGGCAACAGGAGAGGTCAGGCCCTCTTGGGTAATCCTACCTTTGACGTCCCTTTGCAGAGACATGCCCTGCTCGGTGGGGGAGGAGGAGTGGACCACCACCCCCGTCCCCCAGACCATCACGGAGCTCTTCCGAAACGGGAACTGGACGATGGAGAACCCCTCCCCTGCCTGCCAGTGTAGCAGCGACAGAATCAAGAAGATGCTGCCCGTGTGTCCCCTGGGGGCTGGGGGACTGCCTCCTCCACAAGTGAGTCACTTTCAGTGTGTGACCGTTCAGGTGGGGTGCAGGGTGGGCTTGGGGAGAAGGAATGGGTGACCTGCCATGTCAGGAGGGTCTCTTTCAGTCTTGATTCTTGTCATAGGGAAAAGCGTGTGAGTTTTGAGAGGAGGGGCCTTGGAGCACATTGTTCCTGTATCTGAGGGAGCTTAGCCTGCTTCTCTCTTTTGAAGTCAGCCTAGTTTCCTTACTGGTTCGAGGTCCAACCGGAATACAACACTCTGGATCAATGAGCTGTGGAAGGCACACTGTGGACTCTCCCCCAGTGGTGGTGTCACGGGACAGACTGTGACAAGCCCAGCTTCATCTCTGCCTCTGCCACAGATGAGCTGGTGACCTTGGACAGGTCACGCTGAGTCCCTGGGCCTGTTTCCTCACCGCTGAATTAGGGAGGTTCGCCCATAAAACTTCTGTGGGTCTTACAACTCTGACATCCTCTGAAACTCTGAGTGTGGGAAACAGTTCTGAGCCATTTTTTCTGAGAATGATTTCAGGAAGAGGCTTGCTTTTGATGTCTCTCTGCTGGCTTATCAGCATCCAGGTTGCAGGGTGAGGAGAAGGAATTTCAAACGGTGTTGAAAACTTAAAGCAGTCCTTCCTGATTGCGTTTCTTTAAAATAAGAGCTCTTCTCTTCATCAGTATAACTCCAATGAACAAAAGAATTCACTAGGCATAGCCAATGGTGCTGCTCCCTGAAAACCTTTTGTAACCATAAAGAATGATACTTCACGGTTTATTCTGATACTTCATAGTTGTTCAGAATAAGTTGCTGGGGCTCTCCTTGGCTTGCCATAATGGCCCTGCTGAGAGCAGAGTGGACCAGACCTTGGTGGCTGGCTGATGGCAGAGCCTGGGCCCTGTGGGCAGTCTGGTCACACTGTGGTACATGTTTGAGGGACATGTGTCATTGTTGTCCTTGATTTGTTTTCTATTCCAATTCTGGTCCATAAAGACACATGCACTTGGTTTTTCTGTGATAACAGAGAAAACAGAACACTGCGGACATCCTTCAGAACCTGACGGGAAGAAACATTTCGGATTATCTGGTGAAGACATATGTGCAGATCATAGCCAAAAGGTCATTATTTACTAAACTTGGCGCCTGCTTAATCATTACTGACCAGAGGAAGTAAAAGCCAAAAAAAAATAGTAGATTGAGTAGTGGGGGGAACATCACATTTTGACCTGATGTTGTCTTTTGGAAGTTTAGGATATTCTTTCAAACTAGAAAAGATGATGGGAAGTATTATGAACATTCAGCTTCAAGACTGAGGTTGCATGGTTCCAGGATGAAAATAAATCTGGATTCAAATTCTAACTGCTGCTTATTAGCATTTTTGACCACGGGCAGCCAGTTATCCTATTAAAGCCTTAGGTTGTATAAAATGTGATAATAGTGTTGCTCTTATTAGTTTGTCATGAGGATTAAATGAAACGATACATGTGAAGTACCTCTCATGGATGGAATGAATGATAATACACGGCATTATAAAGAGAGCCCTGGCCCAACTTAACGGCCCGTCTTGGCTGTGGAGCCTTGCAAGAGCCATATAGCTTCCTGGGGCCTGGGATGGGAATCGTCCCTTTGTCCAACATATCCGTGCCACAAATGCTACCTGCACACGCCCTCTTGGTTATCAGATTGACTGTCACTGTATTGCAGTACTTGTGTTCATGTAACCCTTATTTTATATAATAGTGGCCCTATTGACCTTCAGAGAAATTAACAGGAGACATAGGAAAAAACATAGTATATGTAGGGGTTGGTATTATCCATGGTTTCAGGCATCCGCTGGGGGTCTTGGAATGTATCCCCTCCAGATAAAGGGGGACTGCTGTATTTAGCTGATGCTCAGAAAATGTTTGTTCTAGCTTCCTTCCTATCAGCTTGGTTAGTTGGGCCCCTAAGTTAGGAGTTCTAGTGACTTTTAATGACAAGGGTATTCTTGAATGACAGTTACTGTGAGTTTTCAAGAAAGAGGCATAACCTCTCCATCTGTCATCCATAATTGACCTATTATTTTGAATTTAAAAAAGTTTCTAGTTTGATCACCTCTGTTGGTTTTTAAGTTGTTTTAAATATAAGGCATGACCTTCATATAAATCATAAGGTTTTAATATGGGGAGAAGAAAAGATGCTGATTAGAACTTCTTTCCATTGGCAAGACCCTACAGCAGCAGCCCGACCGCAGGGTTATTTCTGTCCCTTTGTTGTATCCTCAAGTAGATATTTACTCCTTTCTCATCATCAGGAATATGTTTCTTTGGACTGATTTCTGGTTTCTTTGTCTTTGGCCTTCGGCAGCTTAAAGAACAAGATTTGGGTGAATGAGTTTAGGTAAGTTGACCTCGCTGTGCCTTCTTTTCATTTTCCTTGACTCCTAAAGTTCAGGAGGATGAATTTGATGCAGTTTTCTTGGATCCCGGGAAGATGTTAGTTTAGGGATTGTTTTTCCGTTAGCATTTCTGCTCAATGCCCAGCTGCCACTTCAGAGGCCTTTGGAATATTTGGCACACTGATGTCCTTGAGGAGATTTTAGAAGTTCCTTGTGGGTCTCTAGGGACTTGACAGGAAGCACGATGTTTTGAGGGAAAACCTATGCTAGTTAAACTTACCAAATCAAATTCCTAGGAGTCCTAGTGACTCAAGGACAATTTTTCAGGTCATTGGAATAACCAAGGAGGTCTTAGATGAAATAAGAGGCATCAAAACCGTCTATATTCATTGTATTTCAACTCATTTATCCTTCTGAGTTTTTTTTTTTTTTTTTTTTTGCGGTACGCGGGCCTCTCACTGTTGTGGCCTCTCCCGTTGCGGAGCACGGGCTCCAGACGCGCAGGCTCAGTGGCCATGGCTCACGGGCTTAGCCGCTCCACGGCATGTGGGATCTTCCCGGACGGGGGCACGAACCCGCGTCCCCTGCATCGGCAGGCGGACTCTCAACCGCTGTGCCACCAGGGAAGCCCCTTCTGAGTTTTTTTTTAAATAACAATGTTTCTATTAGAAAATAAAACCAGAGTCCCATCAGGATAGCAAGAATCATTCTCTCCTCTGCTGCAGTCAGGCTGTCTCCGACCCACCCTCCACCTCCACCTCCACCCCTGCCCATATCCCTCTAAGTTTTGGAGGAGCAGATGGGACTGGGGAAGAAAAGAAGGAAGGATCCTTGAAGCCCATCAGTTCTCATGAGAAATGAGACACCTTACATGGCTGCCTCAAAACTTGGCTTTGTCCCTGCCTCTCATCTTCCTTCTTTGCCTTTTCTCCAAGAGCCAGGACTTACTGAGTAACTGAGCAGGGCGGAATCAGGACCTTTTGTGGTTCTGCTATGGAAGAGCCATGGCCTGTCTCTAAACCCTTTCAGGCCTCTCTGGTCAGTGTCTTCACTGCTCATCCTGACTTCCCATCTGCTTGCCTGGAGACCTAGGTTCAGGCCTGAGCCACCAGGGGTAGGAGGAGCATCTGTGAGATGAATGAGCATTCTTTCCTCAGCATCTCAGATGTCTCACTCTATGTATAATCAGACCCAGGTCCCTCCCGCTTGGGCAGGAGACAGAAGAGTTAAGAGATTACCAGAGTCCATCAGAGGAGGCCAAGGTGGAACTTTCTCTGAGTCTTACTTGGGTTCGACTTTGAACAGGCAGTTCATCTAAATGAAGCATCACATACTTCGGTGGCGTCTGTTGCTCAATGTTATTGGACCCCACACCGCCTGTGTTTTAATATCAGGCTGTTCTTTTAGGTACGGTGGATTTTCCCTGGGTGCCAGCAATTCTCAAACACTTCCTCCGAGTGAAGCAGTTAATGATGCCATCAAGCAAATGAAGAAACACTTGAAGGTGGCCAAGGTACAGTGTCCATCCCCAGACATGTCAGAGAGAAAATGAGTTGCTAGTACATGGGAGTAGTTGGCAGGTAGATGATCACCTTGCAGCTTATTGTTTAAGACTTTCAAATACAAAGCCATCACTGGGCATTTAGTGATCTTGGGCCAGCCAAGACTGAGCTACTCAGTATGTTATTTACTACCTGAAAGTGCAGATCAAAAACAAATGCAGAGATTTTAAATCGCTCAATAACTTAAGCATAGCCAGTGGATAAATAAACTGGGCATCAAACATACTTTTCTGAAACAATCTCTGGTTAGACAGGAAATGAATCATTTTCTTTAAGCTGGCAGCTAGTTTTAGCACCTAATAAGCATTCACTTCATTTATCTGTATCTCAAGTTCCCCATTTCTAAGTTTGAATTGGCGGGGGGGGGGGGGGGGGGGGGGTCAGGTGGTATGGCCTCTGGGGTCACAGACGGCAGGGATTGTCTTAGAGTCTGAATCTCTGCCCTTGAGGCACAGACCCCATGTCTGATACATCTGCATATTGAGTGTAGTTCTGGGTCTTAGGAGGATGTCAGGGGAGCGCAGTGAAGAATCCTCAGCCAGGCATCTACATCTTGGGACTTTGAGTCACAGGGTTTCCCTCTGGTTCCTTTAAGACCTGTGGCTCATGGCAACAGCGCTGCTTTAGAAATCTGGTCCCTTGCTTCTCAGGAGCCAGTTACTCAGTGGCTTCAAGGTTCATTTCAATGAACAACGCAGTGGCAGTGTTGCCCTTCCCAAGGTTGTCCCGTTGTGCACAGACCCCAGACTTCCTGTTGCCCTCCCCTGTGAACCATCCCACTGAGGCAGCTTTCTGTCATTCACAGGACAGTTCTGCAGATCGATTTCTCAGCAGCTTGGGAAGGTTCATGACAGGACTGGACACGAAAAATAACGTCAAGGTAAAGCCTTTGTTCCAGTAGCTTTTTTTTTGTTTTTTTTTTGGCCGCTCATTGGTGCTTGAGGGATCTTAGTTACCCAGCCAGGGATTGACCCCGGTCCCAGGGCAGTGATAGCACCGAGTCCTAACCACTGGACCAGGGAATTCCCTCCAATAGCTTTTTGATCAACAATAATCCCTGTGTTCCCCCGAAGTACTTTCAGCTCATGATAACATTGATTCATGACAGAAATATCTCTTAATTTTACAATATGATGATGAAGAGAACTTGCTTTGCCACCATTCACACCAGGGGAACCATTATGAACCTGACCGAGTTACTTAACCTATTTAAGCCTCAGTTTCCTAATCTATAAAATGCAGGCAGTAATCGTGGCTACCTCAAAGCTATGGTGAGGGTTAAATGAGTTAAAGATAGCACAGTGCCTGGCCACAGGTCAGTGCTGAGCACACCCTGGCTGCTGTTACCTCTTTGCCGTGTTCTCTGATCATGTTTTGTCTCGTGGTATGACTGGAATTTCTGGAGTGCACATGCATGTTTTGTGTGTGTGCACCTACCTCCGGGAGGGGGTTTGGGAGCAGTACCTTGCACCTGGTGTGTTTTATTTCAGGTGTGGTTCAACAACAAGGGCTGGCACGCCATCAGCTCTTTCTTGAATGTCATCAACAATGCTATTCTCCGGGCCAACCTGCAGAAGGGAGAGAACCCTAGCGAGTATGGGATTACTGCCTTCAATCACCCCCTGAACCTCACCAAGCAGCAGCTCTCGGAAGTGGCTCTGTAAGTATCACTGTGTCTGAATCGGGAGAGGGAGAGGGTGTTTGGGGGAATCATGGAGCAGGGGAAGGAAGTACGAAGCTGGTTGTAGAGTAACAGCTGGGGAAACAGGTTCATTATGGTGTGTTTGGGTTGGTCCAGGCTCTGAACAGAAAATGATCAGTTTATGAATTGGCTGGGCAGGGATTAAATTGCAGAAGATACATGACTCTGATATATTAAAGCCATTATTACATTTAGTGAATTCACATAAAGTAAGTTAAATTGTTAATATAATTCTAAAATATTTTAACTCACCCTTAACACAGTGTTTAATAAAAAAATCAGTTTCGTTTGTTTTGAAATCACTATTTTTAAACTTGGCGAAACATGCTTTTGTCGGCTTGTGTTTAATTCCTTGAGTGTGTGTGTGTGTGTGTGTGTGTGTGTGTGAGTGTGAAGTTAAAACCAGTATAATCTAGTTCAGAGTGTATAGCCTTTGAAATCATAAAGATCTGGGTTTGAATCTGGTTTCTAAACTTTCCAGATGTATGGTATTAAGTGAGGCAATTCATGTAAATTGCCAAGTCCGGCCTTCAACACATGGTTGATATTCAACACACGTTAGGTTCCTTTTCTGTATGTGGAGCATGGCACAGTTATTACTTCTGCTTCACTCATATAGAATATCAATATATGTCACTACGATCTTTATACCATGCTTATATAACATTTATGCAGAGAAATAGTTGATATTATACCCCATTTAATGGACTTATAAGACTATTCTTATAATAAGGATCTGATGGAATTTTTGTACGTGTTAGGTTGATATGCCACGAGCTTTTGTTGTCAAACTTATTTACAGCCAGAAATTGTTGTTTGAATAGTTGCACACTAATATTTCTCCTTTATTAAGTTTTCAAGCTACACTACTCCCTTATGTGTGAAAATTTACAACTTGTTGCTCATAGAAGGTCAAGAATAGTGGAACAAAGTGAATGCCGTTAGGCCACTCTTAGACTTCCTTTAATAGTTTCATTTTGGCAGTAGACCCTTTTGACCTCAGTAGAATCAGTTTTGCATCTGAATTATTGAGTTTTGTTTTTTTTTTCTTGAAAATAACCATCTTTAACCCTGAATAAAATATATGTGGTGAAGAGATTTATTTTCCCTGGGCTATGCTTCAAATATTTGTGTGTGTATGTGTCCCTGATTGAGTCCTCAGCTGCACTGTCTGTCTTTTTCAGGATGACCACATCAGTGGACGTCCTTGTGTCCATCTGTGTCATCTTTGCGATGTCCTTCGTCCCAGCCAGCTTTGTCGTGTTCCTGATCCAGGAGCGGGTCAGCAAAGCGAAGCACCTGCAGTTCATCAGTGGAGTGAAGCCTGTCATCTACTGGCTCTCCAATTTTGTCTGGGACATGGTAAGAATGCCGGTCTGCTGCTGCTATATAAACCTCCATCAGGGCTCTGGATTGGATGGATGAAAGAGCTCCTGGCCATCAGCAGGAGATGTTCTAGCTAGTCCAAAGATGAACAAAAGAGGAAAAGGCAGGCACAGTTGTACACTTTCATGTGACCAAACACAGCCTTAAGCCCAGGGCTGATCTCACACCAGAGGAAATCTGTCCACATGGACTGCAATTCATACCACCACCACCTCATTCCCTAAGTGACAACTTTTCAAAGAAACTGAGGTGGAAGACTTAGTCAAAACTCAAAGCCAGTGCCTCTAACTTGTCTGATAGAGCTTTAACCTCCAGAGTCAGGGTGTGCTTTGTCTTACTAGGAACTCAATCTGTCATTTGAAAACTTTATATGTTTTACTGGAAGCTTATCCATCCATTGCAAATCTGTTTTCATGCCAGCTGTAATATATTGCTTCTATTTGGACCAATATGGAGGACTTCAAAGAATTCTGAAGTTCTAATTTTTGTAAAGTAGAGTTGAAATGTATCTCCCTGTGAGGTCCATTAATTTGTAGGCCACACAGATGAAACTTAATTCTTCTCCCACTGGACAGCCCCTCAGATATTTGAAGACACCTGTCATTTATCCTAAGTCTTCCCCAGATAAGATGATATATGAGAACATACTTTGTAATCTCTAAATCACTGTACAAATGTAAGTAATGGTGATGATGTCTGTGTTGATTATAGCAAGCCTCTCAGACTTGTCATTGTTCTGACCTGATTGCCTCTTTGTGGCCATGCTCCATATTGTTAATGAGCCATCTGAAAAGCAAAGCCCAGAATTAATATTATATTCAGGCTGTGGTCTGAATGTTTATGAGTCTAGAGGGAGCTGATCTTTATCCCATATTCCTATTACTCAGCCCAAGGGTATTTCATCTTGGAAGCAGCACTGTCTTGTTGGCAACTTGGCAGTGAACTGTTTCACAGGTATTTTTTATGGGGTCTCTTTCACTGTATACTAATGCAATTGACTTTTTTGAACCTTTATATTTATATATGAATCTAAAACTTGATATATATATATATCAAACTTTATATATAGCTTTGTATATAAATATAAATGTTGTTAAAAACATATATAAAATTTTATATTAATCCCTGTTAAACTGAATTTTATGTAGTGTCCATTTGTTTTCGTTTTATCTTGATCCAGTAATTGCTTTATTGAGTAAGCACATACATACTGACTGCTCACTACGTGTCTGACTCTGCCAGGCATTGCAGATTCAGAGATGAAAAGATCAAGTCCCTGACTCAGGAATACCACTTATCTTCCTGTGTATTATCTGTTCCTCACTGCTTTAGAACCTCTGAAATTTGCTATAAGCATGTCTTCATCTAAGTTGTTTGAAAAGCACATTTGAGTAGGATGGGACTGAGATGGAGAGCCCTGTGGTCTGAAGCTACAAATACTTCTAACAGCTGACAAGCCCACTACCACCTCCCTGCCTCTGCTCTGCTCTGCCAGCTATGAATTCCCGTAACTGTCCTGTGGTCAAGTCTTTATTTCTGCATTTTAATGCTTGAGACACTGTCAGGACAGACTTTAAAATTAGTCTCAGTGTGATGAAACAGTTCTGACATTCATGTTCTGAGTGCTTACCTCATAAATAGATCACAAGTGAGCTTGAACTTGGGCAGACTATAATATAGCATTAATGATGAAACAGACACAGTCGTCTTCGGGAAGAATAACGGCAGCTTACTTGCTACCTGTGAAATTGAAATTACTCTGACTGGGAACCCATCGTTCAGTAAGTTTACTGAGCGTGGCACCTTGGCTTATCTGTTGGAAAGACAGAAAGGACGTGCAGTTTATAAAATCAGCCGGGGGTAAAATGCTTGTCAACACGTATCGTCCAGTATTTTGATTAATAGTTCTTGTGGCTTCATTAATTCAGAGTTCTTCTTCAGTATGTTTATCTGCCCTTTCTTGTCTGATGATGATGAAGACTTGAGCCGTGTTGTATCTTTGACTTAGGGGTGACCTTGATTTCCTCGTTTCACTTTTAGTGCAACTATGTGGTCCCTGCCACGCTGGTCATCATCATCTTTGTCTGCTTCCAGCAGAAGTCCTATGTGTCCTCCACCAACCTGCCTGTGCTAGCCCTTCTACTGTTGCTGTATGGGTAAGGCACCTCTGGATGGGGCATATGGTATCAGGTGTCAGGGAGAAGGCAGGGGACACCCAGTGGACGTGTGTTTTTGTGCCTCACCAGGTGGTCCATCACACCTCTCATGTACCCAGCCTCCTTCGTGTTCAAGATCCCCAGCACAGCCTACGTGGTCCTCACCAGCGTGAACCTCTTCATCGGCATCAATGGCAGCGTGGCCACTTTTGTGCTGGAGCTCTTCACCAACAATGTGAGTTCTGCAGAAAGAGATGCTGGGATGAGCATAGTGTTTAGTCATGATCTTATTCTGCCTGCCTGCGGTGTTGACACCATGGACCACTCTGTCCTTTTGCAGAGTCTGTCTGTCTTTCCTGGGTTTGCATACCATCTCTCGCTTACCCTTTTCCTTATATGTCTCTGATCACATTTTTCTGTTTCCTTTGACAAGTTCTTGTATACTCCTTTCTGTTTAAATGTTGCTTTCCCCAGTATTCAGTTCTCTGGCATCTTGTTTCCCACTTCAGATGCCCTCTCTGGGTGATGGCATTCATGCTGGAAGATTTCACCACCACCCCTCAGTGCCTCGTGTTGTTCTCTCTCACATCCATGCGTACCTTTAGCCCCGACTCTCCTTTTGAACTCTATTCTCATGTTCTCTCTTGCCCAGTGGATGGCCCCATTTAGATTAACTGAAGGACACCCCAGACTGGCCATGTCCTAAATCATCTTCCCCTCAGAACCCAGTATTTCTCTTGCCATTCCTGTCATGCTGGATGGCATTACCATCCACCCAGTCACCCCAGCTGGGGCAATATTAGAGCCATTTTATATGCTTTGCTTTTGCTTATTTCCCACATTCAGTGGGTTACCTTGCCAGTTCCTCCCATTACAGATCTCTTAAACAAGGTTCCTTGTCCATTCTTGTTGTCATTGCCTTCATCCAGACATCTTAACTTAGCCCACAAAGCCTTTCAGAGGTGTCCAACCCTTCCTTGACAGTTCCCACCACACTCTTTCCCAAGACATGGTAAGCTTTGGCTGAGTGGTCCCTTCAACCCTCCATACTCCTGTAGGCCTGGTTCAAGATCCTCAGCACAGCCGACATGGTCTTTATTCACGTGAACCTCTTCATGGGCGTCCATGGCAGTGTGGCACTTTGGCGCTGGAGTTCTTCACCAACAATGTGAGATACTACCCGATTCTGTGACTCCTCTGTCACAGAATCGGGTAGTATCTCACTAACCCTTCATGACTGAGTTTGAATGTGAAGCTTTCCTTACCTACCTTATGGGAGGTGCTCTCTCTTCCTTGTGCTCCCAAAGCCCACACAGTTCATGCCTCCAGTACAACACACCCAAGTATGTAGTAATTTCCTCTTTCCATGTTTCTTTTCCTCAGAGTAGAGACTAGACTGTTTCTTATTAATCTCTGCCTCTCCTGTGCCCTGCCACAGTGCATCCAGCACATAGCAACTTACTCAGTTGTTGGGTATTTGGCCACTGCTGGATTGATGTATTCGAGAAGAATTTTTTAAACTCCAACAAAACCCTGAAACTGAGGTATTGACCCAGACATGAGCAATTTGCTTTCAAAATGCTAAGCAAATATTTTATGATGGATTAGCTTCTGATTAAATATAATCATGTTTCTAAACTTTGCTCATATTTCTCCCATACTCATAGCATTATTTCAGATTTTCTAAAGAGCAAAATTTTATTACATTATGTATCATCCTCTATGGCTACTGCTATTTATTGGTATCTGAATTCAAAGATTCAGTTTGACCTCAGGGAATCAAATTTCTTTTTCACTTCCATATTTTAGACTTTGGTAAATTTTTAGCCTGAATCACAAAAGACAGTCTCTCTCTGTCTTATTTTTTTAGAAGCTGAATAACATCAATGATATCCTGAAGTCGGTGTTCTTGATCTTCCCACATTTCTGCCTGGGACGGGGGCTCATTGACATGGTGAAAAACCAGGCAATGGCTGATGCCTTGGAAAGGTTTGGTGAGTGACAGTAGTGGCTGTAGGATGTTTTAATAGAGATGGCAGTCTGCATGGGCCTTGGTACTTTGGCCTTTGTTTTGGAAAGAGGGTGGTGACTGGGCACAGGACTTCACTGATAGGGCTCATGTCAGTACAGCTGGTTGTGGCATGGGTCATGTGACACAACCATTTGTCTGAAAGATGAGACAGTAATTTTGGAGGTGAGGAAAATATTGGCTTAAGCTTGGACCCAGTGCCTGATACCACTGGTGGGGTTTGCCAGAGTCATTGGAAAAGTCACACCACAGCTTTGAGAATTAGATACAGGCCAGAGAATCAGAAGGAAAGATGCAAACTTTGGCTCTATTGGGAAAATCATGGACCTGCAGATGGGGTCATATATTACCTTTTACACAGTCTATAAAAAGGTAATTTACTGCAGCTCTTTCTACATTTAGAGTCTTTAAATTTATTTCTCCTGTGGCCACTTTACTATTCTTTATTGACTGGCTCATATAGTTAGATGGGCCATGTTATTTAATGGGCATAGAAGAGGGACCTGTTTTAAACTTGGAGGTACAAGGAGATATATAAGGATTTTAAGGGATATTTACATAAAACCAGATGAGTTGAGTCACCAGGTTACATTATATGCTATTGAAAGGGGCATCTTTTAAACGTGCTTTCTAATCTTTCTTAGTGAAGCTTATAATTTGTTAAAATACTGACCCTAAAAATTACCCTGGATTGTTTGCCTTTTTACAAAGGATTTTTGGCATGTCTCATTAAAATGGAAACATTAGGGACTTCCCTGGTGGTGCAGTGGTTAAGAATCCGCCTGCCAGTGCAGGGGACACGGGTTCGATCCCTGGTCCGGGAAGATCCCACATGCTGTGGGGCAACTAAGCCTGGGCACCACAACTACTGAGCCTGCGCTCCAGAGCCCATGAGCCACAACTACTGAGCCTGCGTGCTGCAACTACTGAAGCCCACGCGCCTAGAGCACATGCTCTGCAACGAGAAGCCACCGCAATGAGAAGCCCGTGCACTGCAACAAAGAGTAGCCCCCGCTCGCCGCAACTAGAGATAGCCTGTGCACAGCAATGAAGACCCAACGCAGCCAAAAATAATAATAATAAATAAATCTTTAAAAAAAAAAGGAAACATTAGATTTCTTAGATGAAGTTACAGTTCAAATACACGTTATCTCTGAAATTCTGATTGATACTGTTTCACAGTATGTTTCCCCAAAACCTTACCCTAAATCAGATTTGGAAAGTGGTGACTCCCTTATTTTTTCCTCCTGGCCACGGGCCATAAACATTGGTATTTCTAGGAATGTAGGCCTGAATTTGAGGAAGGGCCATGGTCTCTGGTGCCTCCATTCTGACTGGATCTCTGCATTGTGTCTACCAGGGGAGAATCGCTTTGTCTCGCCGCTGTCTTGGGACTTGGTGGGACGAAACCTCTTCGCCATGGCTGTGGAAGGGGTGGTGTTCTTCCTCATCACTGTGTTGATCCAGTACCGATTCTTCATCAGGCCCAGGTGAGCTTTCTCTCAGAACTCACAGAGCACCTGGTTGATGGTCACGGAGGAGGAACACAGGGAAACACTCGCCGGTGGTGGTTGGATTGACTTGAACTCAAAACAGATAATCAAACTGATTTTCCTAATGTGGGCATCTCCCGGCCCCCAACACTGCCGACAACTCCGGAGTATGGATTTTACAGGACTGCTTTAGAAACTGGGTCTTTGACTTAGAAAATAACTTGAAAAGTTGATTTGGTTTTTTTTCTGAATTTTTTCCCCCTAAGACCTGTAAAGGCAAAGCTTCTTCCTCTGAATGATGAGGATGAAGATGTGAGGAGGGAGAGACAGAGAATTCTTGATGGTGGAGGACAGAATGACATCTTGGAAGTCAAGGAGCTGACTAAGGTGAGGCAATGAGGACAGGCTATAACAACTTGTCTTCAATTTTTTCAGCTTTATATGTTGGAAACTAGCATTTTGCTGACTCAATAAAAAGAGCATGCTTCCTAAAATGTGCATCTATACCAAGTTTCTGTCAATTTAATTTTATTTAAAATACACCATGGGGACTTCTTAATTAAAGAAATCCTACTGAAAATAATTATACTTTGAATTCTCATTCTTGAGTATATTTGTTTTTCACACATTTATGCATTAGTTATTAAAACATCTAATGTTGTGTATCGAGGCAAAGCTGAAGTTGATAGAATAATGATTGATTTTGAGTTTCATGGTCCAAAAAGCTGGTAAATTTCCATTGCTTAAGAAGAGGGTCTGTTTCAGCCCTTTCTAGGTGCCAGAATCCCAACAAATTCACTTTTTTGTAATCTGTTCAATATTTGCAATGTTTTGATAAACGAATTATTACCCTGTAAAATTTAGTTTTTAAAATATCTACAATGTCTTTACATATTAAATGAAAATTATATAAATATTAATGACCAATATATTTTTTAAAAGTCTGACGTTAGATTAAAAAATAAAAAGAAATTCACTTGTATTTTGAGCTTCAGGGTCATTCAGAAGCCAGTTGCCACAGAGACAGACCAAGGCTTTAGCACATCACATGTGCGACTTAGTCTTATCGACGAGACTTATTTTGTGGTGTGTTTAGGTCATAATTCCCTCTTCCACAGTTGCCTGGGACAGCTGTGAGTCACTGCAGCTCATGAATTTTTGCATTTTGTTTGTTGCAGGTGTATAGAAGGAAGAGGAAACCTGCAGTCGACAGGATTTGCATTGGCATTCCTCCTGGTGAGGTAAAGACACTTTGTCTACCTTGTGTTTGCCCCTATTAATTCAGACTGTCTCTACTGCAATCAAACAGTAATGTCTGTAAGGGGTTAAAAGTGGTTTTAAAAGGCTTCTCCATTTATATCTGTGTGGAGCAATCAGTCATTGAAAGGATGGGGGCCCCATATATCAGCAATTTTGGATAATCTCAGACAATGTAAGAAAAGTATGCACATCCAAAATGTGATTTTGTGATCCATTCCAGGTGATAATGAAATTCAAATAGATTTTAAAAGATAGATTTTCTCCTTTCTCGTTTATGTGTGTATTCTTGTATGCCCTTTAGCCAGATTAGATGGTGAAATTTGACTTGTTGGCTTTCATTACTGTTTTTCACACATTAACTTTGGTCTTAACCTGACGACTCAAATGATATTTACAAATACACCCACACTTTCATTATAAAACATATGTTTAAATATCTATATGATTTCTTAAAACCAAGAAAATAGTTGACTCTTCATTAAGAATGATGTTTTAGGATCATGTTACATGAAAATGAAGCTGAGGTGACTATTTTATAAGGGTCATTTATATTCAGATTTTTAGTAGTTTACTTATACAACTTACCCAATCTTTTTCAGTGCTTTGGACTTCTAGGTGTCAATGGGGCTGGGAAATCATCAACTTTCAAGATGTTAACGGGAGATACCAGTGTTACCAGAGGAGATGCTTTTCTTAACAAAAACAGGTGAGAGAAGTCTGTGTTTTGCCACGGACTTTTTTAAAACTTTATTTAAATGAATATGTTGTTATTTTTCTGATTATAACAGTACTCTGTAGTTTCTAAAAATGTTGAAATATAGTAAAACTGTAAAGAAGAAAATAAAAGTCATCCATAATCCCAGTACCTAGAGATAACTACTATTTACATTTCATTTTAGTCTCACTCTTTTTTTTAACAGCTTTATTCAGGTATGATTTACATGCCGTACAATTTACTTGTTTTAAGAGTACAACAAATGACTTTTAGGCAATTTACAGAATTGTGCAACCATTATCACGATACAATTTTAGAACATTCCCATCACCCCAAATCTCTCTACTTTATATACACATATAAATATATTATAAAATTGACATCATACTACATCTAGATTTTTAAATTAGTTCTTTTGTTGTTAATGACTGTATTATTGTATATGATACAATATATACTGGTTACGTATTCTAAGATGTAGAAATTTTGCTGCATAAAATGCATCTATGTACATGTACCTATAGTTTATTTCACCAATTCCTTATTGTTAGACATTTGTTTCTGTTTTTCATTAAATGTGTCCTTGTATTCATCTTGATTGTTTCCTCAGGGAAAATTCCTACAAGATAAAAGGTTATCTATATACTTGCCAAGTTGCCCTCGCTAAAGGGTGTGCCACCTGTTGGTGTCACCATGGGCTATTATCCGAGAGTGCACAGATCACGAAGCAGTCTGATCATAAGGGGTACAGTACACTTTAGAGTCCTGTTAGGAAATGTTACACTCGAGCACTCGAAATATGTGGGACTTCTCTGGGCTTTTTATATTGGAGAGACGGTACAAGGCAGTGGCTTTCAAACTCTTTGATCATGACCCACAATACCAAAATCAATACATTTTACCTCTCAACCGAGTAAATACACAAAAGCACATAAACAGGCATATAGCTTAAATAAAAGTTTTGTAAAACATTACCTACTCTTCCTGCTTGCAGTGCACTCTGATATTTCTTATTCTACTATCTACCACACCATTTAAAAAATACTGGCTGTGACCCGCTAAATTTATTTCACAACGTACTAATGGGTGGTGACTCACAATTTGGACAAGGGGCTGCTAGCCAATAAAATTGAAAAGAGCAAGGAACTTAATGTACTCATGGCTCTCCTCTGCATCTTACACGTTTTTTCAGTAGCAGTGTAAAGGAGGTTTAAGAGAACAGAATTTCTAGAATAGTTGGCCTAAGGCTACACACCTGCTTTCCCCATCTTGTTCCTAGTACCAGGCTCCTGGGGCACACAGCAATGGCAGCAATAACTGGCCCAAACTAAGGTTCGTCACAGTGCCTGGTTCTGAGAGGTGGTGTGGGCAGTGTAGCTGTGAGGTCCAGGCACAGGGTCTGTGAGCGCCTCAATCATAGTTCTGGAAAAGGCTGGATCTGGGAGTACTAATTTATATGCAGAGAGGAATGAATACTGCTGATGGGCCAAACTCGTGGTTGTCCAGAGGTGGCTAAAGTGCAGCTATCAGCCTGGATGTGACACTGAGCTTTCTCCTACATTAGGGATCCTTAACCTGAGAATGGCTTCATAGGGCCTAAAAACTGCCCCCACCAATATATGTCAAATTGTGTCTGTAGGTATATTTTTTGTTGTCATCAGATTCTCAGAGGGTCTGTGATCAAAAAAACCTTCAAAACCAGGAGGATTCCTGGGTTGAGTATTTAGTGGGACCAAGGGGTCTGGATCATGTTATGTGCGAGTCAATGTATGGGCAGCAAAAAGCAGAGGAAGTCACAGCGAGTTGCTGAGCCTGCTCTGACGTGAATGGAGCAACAGAGCCCATGGTGCATATGACTGGGCCACAGAATCAAGTCGGGGATGGACACTTAGTGTTAAAGTCCCGGGATAGTGTGACTCAGGCTGTTGATAAAGATGGTGCCACAGCTGGGATGGACTTGGGAATTCTGAAATGGGACTGAGCCTGCAGACTGTGGTGCTGGGGGAGCCAGGTGCAAGGACTGGGCAGAGTGTAGGCCAGAACCCTGACTTCCAGGAGGGGCTGGCATCCTGGGGGCAGAAAGGCTTTTCCTTCAAGCTATAGCAGGTGTGCTCGCTGGTGTGTTGGTCATGCGCAAGCACTCTTCATAGGAATATTAGGCAAGCTGATCTGATCAGAGTATCTAAATGCTTAAAAACCTGACCGGTTTTGTTTTCCTTTGCAGTATCTTATCAAACATCCACGAAGTACATCAGAACATGGGCTATTGCCCTCAGTTCGATGCCATCACAGAGCTGCTGACTGGAAGAGAGCACGTGGAGTTCTTTGCGCTCTTGAGAGGCGTCCCAGAGAGAGAAGTCGGCAAGGTACCGTGGGCACCGGAAAGCCAGCCTGTCTCCCTTGGCGTCCTAACAGTGTACCTTACGGCTGTGACCTTCACACATGACCATCGGCTTCAGGCTGTTCTTCCTTGTGGATGCAGCAATGTGAAGTTTTGGCTCTTCGCAGCTCCTTTCAGGGTGGGAAGCCGCGGTGGGACAGGGATAGGTGAACTGCCTCACACCGGCGGACAGAGAGGGAGTGCTGCTCCCACCCACGCGAGTCCCTGCCCCCCTGCTGCTGGTTCCTCCACACTTGCCAGGTCGTGATTGTATAGAACCTGGTCCTACTCAGTGAAAGAGTTTTCATACGCAAGTGTAAGAAAGCATGATAAAATTCCCAAACCCAACAAAGGTCAAGACGCTTTTTATCACCCTTAGGTTGGTGAGTGGGCAATTCGGAAACTGGGCCTCGTGAAGTATGGAGAAAAGTATGCTGGGGACTATAGCGGAGGCAACAAGCGCAAGCTCTCGACGGCCATGGCATTGATTGGCGGGCCTCCTGTGGTGTTTCTGGTGAGTGTGACTGTGAATGGGAAACTTTGTCCTGGCCTGAATGGAAGACACCTCTTTTCTAAAGTCCTCGATGTCCAGGCCGTGCATGGCTGGCTTGGCAATGGCAAGCCCCCCTCCCCCGATGAGGAACAGCAGGGCAGCCTCAGAGAACCAGAGGGAAGCTCCCTCTCCCCTCTCCTTGACACACATTGGGGTGGCTCTGACATGCCCTCAGATGCTCCAAAGGAGGAAATACTCCAGGGACCTTGTTTCTCTAGCATGGAGAGCCCCAACAGGTGCAGCTGAGGCTGGGTGTGTGATTTGACCTTTCTCTGGACCATACTATATGCCATCTATGTGTTCATCCCCTGAAGACTGAGAGTGTGGATACAGCTTCAGGATCCCCAAGGTAGCACCTGGGTCATAGTTCCTTACATACAGATAAATGGAAGACAGAAGGTCAGACTGACAGTGGCCCTTGACCCTTTTTCTTCTGTAGAGGAGAAGAGCACTGAAGTTATTACAGGAAGAAGCCTTGGGCTGAGGCTTTAAAGTTATCCAGACTATTTGGATTTGGAATTTGTTTCTCTAAAACTAGCAAGTACAGTATAACAGGCTAAGCCAGAGTGAACTAGAATTTTAAAAAAAGAAAAGGAATTTTACCCAAACCTTAAACTGACCTCAGTATCAGACAAAAATAATTTTTAGTATATACTTGTCAGTCATGAAAAGATGGTTGAAACTAAAAGACTTTTCCCCTTCCCTTTCTGTTTATTTGGAGAAATTTCATTTCATAAAAAATTAGAGTTTTCTACTTCAGTGATGCATGTAAAAGTGAACTGGTTGCAAACAGTATGAAATATTCTTGTATGTAAGGTCTGGTTCTTTGGTCCATCAGGAAATAAATAGAATGGTAAGTTAAAACTTAGGCTATTTCAGAGATGCTTCTGAATTTAAAACCAAACCTATCTTTGATTTTTTTTTTCCCAGCACATAATAGGGCTTATTATTATTATTTTTTTTAATAGGGCTTATTTTATTCTAATTACAGGATGAACCGACCACAGGCATGGACCCCAAAGCCCGGCGATTCTTGTGGAATTGTGCCTTAAGTATCATCAAGGAAGGGAGATCAGTAGTGCTTACATCTCATAGGTCTGTAGTGAAGACTTAGCTTGGCTTTTTTGTTGCGTAACTTTTAAGTTTTCCAAGTACTGTATATGATCATTGTATAAAAAATAGAAAACACAGAAAGGCAAATAAAAAAAAAAATTATGATCACCTGACATTGCATCGCTAGGAGACAGCTATTACTGTCATCAGGCCATATATCTTTGCAGAGTTTCCCTATGCAAATCTATACACAGTGTATATGTTTTTTACAAACAAAAATGCAAGCTTTAGCATATATACTAAGTTCTTTTTCCCTTAACAATACTGAGAACATTATTCCAAGTCAGTTAATTTAGATGTGTCATCATTTCTTATAGCTATTAGTGAATAGTATTCCATTAGGATATACCCTAATTTATTTAACCATTCCTCTTTTGTGTAGACATCTGGATCATTTCCAACTTTCTTCACGATTATAAACGGCATGGCAGTGAACAGCGTTTTCCCTCCATCTTCATGTATTTGTAACAGGATGCAATTACGCCCTAGGAAGCTGGGGATCTGTTTCTTTGAAATGCCAAATGACATGGTGACGTTCTGATGGTTATAGGAGCATCTCTCTAAAACTAAACCTCATTCTGTTTTCCCACAGCATGGAAGAATGCGAAGCTCTTTGCACTAGGATGGCAATTATGGTCAATGGGCGGTTCAGGTGTCTTGGCAGTGTCCAACATCTGAAAAATAGGTAACAAAGATAGTTTCTTTGGGATCCCACATACTGAGAAATCGTGTATTTATTCTTTTGTGAGTGTATACATGGTGGCTCTAAAATAAAGGGAAATAAACTGAACAAGATGGTATAGTGGAAAGAATGAGGACTTTGAAGTCAAACAGAGCTGCATGCAAATTCTGTCTTTACCTTTTATGGGTTGTATGCACTTCAGCAAAGTTATTTAACCTCTCTGAGAGGCAGTGTTCTAGGAATATCTACTTTCTACCTTTGTTATAGAGATGTAATGGGAAGATTTATATGTGCCAGTAAGGTTAGAGCATAGGCTTCAGAGTCAAGCACAAGTTGGGTCCACACCCTGGCCCTACCATTTCTGAGCTACGTACCATGAGCAAGTGACTAACACTCTCAGTTTCAATTTCTCTGTAATATCTGACAGACCTCACAGGTCTAGGTGAGGATTAAATGAAGTCATGTCTAAAGCCCTCGGCAAGGCAGCTCACATAGAATAGGTATTCAGTACGTGACCACTGGTTCCTGCTCTCTGAAACTTATTTCTGGGTCTGGCAGGGACCTCTCTCTTTCATGGCCCAAGTGGGGTTCTCAGAGTTAAATATTCTTTTGAGAAGTTTCCCGAGGGTCTTCCATTTGGACTTTCTTTTTCCTGCTTTCAGGTTTGGAGATGGTTATACAATAGTCGTACGAATAGCAGGGTCCAACCCTGACCTGAAGCCTGTCCAGGAGTTCTTTGAACTCGCCTTCCCGGGAAGCGTGCTGAAGGAGAAGCACCGGAACATGCTGCAGTACCAGCTTCCCTCTTCACTGTCTTCCCTGGCCAGGATTTTCAGCATCCTTTCCCAGAGCAAAAAGCGACTCCACATAGAAGACTACTCTGTCTCTCAGACAACACTTGACCAAGTAAGCTTAGAGTGTCAAAAACAGGTTTCCTTTTCAGAGTGAGGCTTCCTGCCGCTTCTCCACCCACTGCCCATTGTGGGCCCTATAGCACAGTATAGATGAGCTGAGCATGAACTCCTGATCTACTACTACTAGTTATGCTTTTTACCTAACCTCCCTGAATCTGCAAAGGGAGATGATACTACCAACTTCATAGGGTTCATGTGAGAATAAATTGTCATAATAATCATAAAAACTGCAGTTTTTTTATTGAGTATCTGCCATGGGCAGGTATTATGCCAGGTGCCTTATCCCATTTAAATTAGATAACATCAGGTACCAAATAGATCCTGGCACTTAGTAGGTGTTCAGTAAATGTTAGTTTTCAACCCTCTTCCCTTTAATCAGGCCTGTATGAGTCAAAGTAAATAGATGATTGAGCAGTTGGTGATTTGGGGGGGCAATAATAGAAGGTGAGTTTTTTAGGTTAATGCTTTGTCAAGTATTCCCCTCTCCCTCCCACACAAAATTTTCTAGTTAATCTGTTTATTCAATCTCGTATCCTCTAATCTTCACGTGGGGAAAAATGCAACTAGAATAAAGAGAGCAAGTTAGAGCTATTTATAAAGTCCACCTTTATTTTGACAGGTATTTGTAAACTTTGCCAAGGACCAAAGTGATGATGACCACTTAAAGGACCTGTCATTACACAAAAACCAGACAGTAGTGGATGTTGCACTTCTCACATCTTTTCTGCAGGACGAGAAAGTGAAAGAAAGTTATGTATGAAGAATCCTGTTCATACAGGGTGGCTAGAAGAAAGGAGGAACTAGACCTTCCTTTGCACTATGTGAAGTGTTCCAGAGGGAAGAGCTGGAAGATTTTGTGGGAAGAGGTAAACTGGATACTGTACTGATACTATTCAATGCAATGCAATTCAATGCAATGAAAACAAAATTCCATTACAAGGGCGGCGCCTTTGTAGCCTATGTCTTGTATGGCTCTCGAGCGAGAAGGACTTGAATTTAGTTTATTACCTTATACTTGTGTGAAACTCTAGTATGGAACCCAGTGGACATACGGGTTTGACATACTTTTTTGTTCCTTTGTATTCTCACTGGGGTTGCAACAATAATTCATCAAGTAATCATGGCCAGTGATTGTTTATCAAAATCAAAAGGCATCCTCATTCATTAAGCCGTGCCAAGCCAGGAGACTGGTTTCCCGGTGACACAGCCAGTGTCGGCAGTGAGTGCACCGGAATTACTAATGCCAAGTTGCTCAGAAAGCCCGAAGCACCATGGTGTGTCATGCACACTTTTGTGAAAGCTGCTGTACTCAGAGTCTGTTGACATCATCAAATATCGGGTGACAAAATGGTTCCATGTGTGGGGAAAGTCCTGCTTTGATTCCCTCTTGGATGAGCTGCTCTGATGGCGGTGACGTGCAAATTGCAACATGCAAATTGCATGCTAACATGCAAGAGTGAGACTTGGTTTCGTTGTTGTCCTTGCTTGGAACCATGAGTCTCCGAGGCTATGTTTCTCGGACTCTTTAAGTATACTTAGATCCTGGTTAAGAAGCAAAGAATCAGCAACCGCATTGTTGGGGCCTCAGGCTGTGGAAGCCAGGGCACGGGATGAAGAGGATGATGCGTTCAAACCAAGGGAGGCCTGTGTCCATTTGTCCTGATCGTCTGCTAACACGGTACAGTGCATCTCAAGATCTTGTTGCTTGATACAAGCATAGTATTATTTCTGGCTTTTTGGATTAATCTAGAATATGAAAAGATGGAGTTGTATTTTGAGAAAAATCTTTGTACTTTTAATGTTACTTGGAATTGTAAGTTCTGTCAGTGACTTCTGAAACCTTAGAATGGCCTCTTTGTAGAACCCTGTGGCACAGAGGAGTATGGCCACACTGCCGCGCTAGCTTTATTTTTTCACGTAAGTTTGTGAATGGATCATCTAATGCCTAGTGACTAGAAAACAGTGTGATGGCCAAGATCTCATGACAACATTGTATTTAAGTTTCTTTAAGATCGTTTAGAATACTTTTAGTATCAGTGCATTAATCAAGTATTTTTTGAGTGTATGTTGTAACTGAGTATGGATGGATGCGGTGAGGAGATACTAAGTCTCAGTAGATTTCCTGTGCCATGTTTGTCAGCTAACTGGTTTACAAATACAGGTTTTGTTGTGGTTGTGGGAACCCACTGAAAGAATATTGGGCAGCCCACTTTTTGAAGATAGCAACAATGCAAAAGCCAAGAACGTTTAAATGTCATAAGGATCACAAGACTATATAACGAATACTTTCACAGAGAAGACGGCTGGCTTCAAAGCTTGTTGAATAACATAAAACTGTGCTTATGGCATTTAGTACCTTCGAATAATTGACTTTGAAAATCTCAGATACCCCATTCTGACAATCTCAAATTTGTCATCTCTTCAATCACTAACCTATCATGAAAAAAACAAAAAAACAAAAAACAGCAAATGCCCCCACGTGAAGATTATCTCAGACTTTTCTAACCCAGTTTAATTTTTTTAGTCAGTAAATACTTGTTAAAAATAATATTGCACTAATGTTTAATGTCATCTGTCTTGAGGCAACAAAATTATGAGAGAAATACTGTTTGGTAAAGTCATCTTTCAATATCATTACTAATGTCTTCTTCTTTTAAAAAAATTTAGATATTAACTCTAAAGGTGCAAGATTTCAGATCTATCCAAATCTGTATTTTTTCTTTTAAAATTTACTGTATGTTATCATGCAACTTGTTGCTTGGAAAAAGAAAATGACCTTTAGGGGACTTCCCTGGTGGTCCAGTGGTTAAGACTTTACCTTCCAATGCAGGGGGTGCAGGTTCGATCCCTGGTTGGGGAGCCAAGATCCCACATGCCTCACGGCCAAAAAACCAAAACATAAAACAGAAGCAATATTGTAACAAATTCAATAAAGACTTTAAAAATGGCCCACATCAAAAAATCTTTAAAAAAAAAAAAAGAAATGAATGCCGATATTTTCTAAAATGATAAGCAAGCAATGGAGGCATTTTTCCAATAACTATTGGCATGAGCTCATATTTTATGCTATCTTTAATGATATAAAATTTATAGAATAATTGTTTCTCCTTGTTCAATATTTTTCAAAATCAAGCTTCTGTTTTCCCATTTCACTAGAATCATGTTCTAATTCTGTATTATATTAAAACCATGAGTAGCTCCTTTATTTGATTACTCCAAGGCCATGTTTTCAAATATCAAAAGACACTGTGAACTACTTTTAAAAAAATGCAACATTTCAATATAGATTTAAAGGTTCTCTTAAGCTAGAAAAAAGTCTACAGCTACCCATCTACTTCATTAATATTGTTACCTTTTAGACTATCCAAACAGCAGTCTTTTAAATTTTTCTGTGTAAGCCTAATTATAGTAGAAATTTTTACAACTCTCTGCTCAGTCAGGTAAAATTTCTATATAATCCCTGTGGAAATGTAACCATGTGAGTTTCAGAAATTTTCAAAAGTGTTTAAAGATTTCGGCTTTTGCTTCTTTTGGACACCTTAAACCTTATTAACTGTGAATATGAAAAATACAAAAGAAAACAATAACAAAGCCCTCTATAGGTAAACGCCCAGCATAGGTCATTGTTAAAAAACAAATAACCAAACCTCAAACTACTGTATTTCAATATCTGTACTGAAGGCATATGCATTGTGACTATTAAATGTTGCACAGCATTCACTGTATACTAATCATTGACTAAAGGGATGTGTCTGTTTTCTTCTCGTGGTTGTATATATCAGGTAAAAATTTTTTCCAAAGAGCCATGTGTCATATTATCTTGAACCACTTAGACGCTGAGATATTAATTTCTACCCTTGTTACTATTTACTAGTAATAACATAGTGCTATAGTCATATTGTTCTAATTCTCTTCAGAATTGTTGCATCCCTTTTTATAGAATGTTTAACCTTCCATGAGGTTTAAGTATTCTGTTCTCCCGTCTTATACCCTACGATGAAGCTATGTTTCTGTGCTTTTTCTTTATCATTGGCCCTTCATTCCAAGCACTTTATGCTGTCTGTAATGGGATCTATTTTTGCACTGGAATATCTGAGAATTGCAAAACTAGACAAAAGTTTCACAATAGATTTCTAAGTTAAATCATTTTCATTAAAAGAAAAAAAAGAAAAAAATTTTGTATTGTCAATAACTTTATATGAAGTATTAAAAAGGCATATTTCTATGTTGTAATAAGTCACGAAATAAACCTGTGACGGTTCTGTTGTGTCTGTACTTATTTATTTTCGTGCATTCATAGCACCACCTACTGCTGGAGCTTATAAAGTCATTACAGAAGTAAGAAATGTCTGCTTATAGAAGGGAAGACGCTTGGACCCAAAGTAGAAATTTAGAAAAAACTAAATGTCCTGTTAATCACAAAAGAAAATCGAGGGGACTACTTGAAAATAAAGGGTGTTTCGCACTTCCATGGTTCAGTTTTGGTAGTAACTGATACTAAGTTTAAGAGGTTTTAGATAAACTTACTTTGCTTAATGATGATGAAGCTGTAGAGATCTCTGCAAATACTCTGTAGCTAAGCCATTTAATAAAAACCTCATTACTTCATTTGGCACTGAGGAAGCTCAAAGGCAGCCTTCGGTGCTCTTTTGTTTATTCAACCAAAATACAAGGACACAGTGTGGCAGGTGTACCCGCAAGGTGCTGGCAAGAGTGAGCATGCAGGAAAAGTAGGCAAACGTGGGAGGAGAAACGATACTAATGTTGGAGGGGCCTTCCCTTTCTTCTGTAAGAAGTGCTGTGCAGTCTGCGCCCAAGATTATGTAGTGCTACGATATGTGGGTGCATTTGTCACAGCTCACAAGCATCGTTTCTGAGACTGACTGCTAATCTCGGTCCTTGAAGAACCCCTGTCAAACAGGCCCTCTTAGGCAGCACAGTGGAGTCGTGGCTCTGCTTGTGACCACTTGATGGCCGTGATGTGTAGAGAGCAGTCCTTTGCTAAGGTGTGGATCTGAACTTTGTGGGGCGGGAGGATTGTGACTTTGCGACTGAGCCTGGTTGACTGCCCAGCATCAGCATCACAATTATGTCTCTCCCCCTTGAAGTTCACATTATAGCCACTTTAAGGAAATGACAGAAAATTGTGTTTGTGAAAAACGACAATTGAGGGAGAGAAAAAAAAATACTGAAAAATAAAAGGCGGTTAGTTAAGATAATATGTTACTCATGAGTCTTGACCAAAACATTCTTCTATCTAGGAAAAAAGCATGTATAAACATTTACAGGTTCAAAAAAACTCTGGAAACTTTGGAATGCTAACGCATACATTGAATAAGAAAAAGCTTGAGAAGATTAGCTACCTTTTTCAAGGGTTTAACTGTGTTGTCAGGTATTTATTTAATCCTCAGAACCTGCCATATGAGGTAAGTAGTACCATTTGACATATGAGTAAACTGACTCAGAGAATAAGGAACTGTTCAAAGAGACACAGCTAGTAACTGGCAGAGGGTTCTTTCGGTGAAGTTGGGTATCAGTTAAAATTGTCCTTATAAAATCAGTTTGGCATCATTATGCAATAATGTAACAAATACTTCTTGAACTCTCTCATGCACCAGATACTCTTCTAGGTTCTGGGGATACAGTGTTGAAGAAGGTCGAATTCCTGCTCTAATGAACTTGAATTTCAATGGAGAAGTTATATTCATATTCACAACAGATGTGTGGGTAAAGAAATATAATAAATTCAGACAGCACTAAGTGCTAAGAAGAAAATACAACACAGTAACAATAACCACGGAGAGGTGTCAGGCCTCTGCGGAGTGACATATGAGCTCAGATGTGAATAAAATGAACAGGAGCCAACATTTGAAGGTGGGTAGGAAGAATGTTCCTGGAAGAAAAAACACTCGGTGCAAAAGCCCCAAGTGGGAAAATCTTGGCAAGTTGGGGAGCAAGGAGAGAATTCCAGTGTCTCTGGAGTTGTAGGCAATGGAATCAGAGATGGCAGGAACCAGAACTTGTGGAGCCTTGTAGTCCAGTGTAAGGTACCTGGATTTTATTGTTAGTGCAATAAGGAGCTGCTGGAGAGTTTTAAACAAGGAAGTGACTTGATCTATGTTTCAGAAAGAACTTTGCTGGTTATATGGGGAGAAAGGACAGTAGGGAGGCTAAGTAGGAGAGGACGGTAGATTGGGCCAGGATGGTAGCAACAGACATAGGAAGGAATTGTAACGCTGAGGATCTATTTTAGAGATACAGCCAACAGGACTTGCTGATGGGCTGCAAAGGGGATGAGGGAAAGAGAGATATCAAGGTGACTCCTAATTTCTGACCCAAACTAGGTAGATGGTTGTGTTCAAAAGGCAGTTAGTATTTCAGTCTGCAGCTCAGAGGCAAGGACGGGAAAAAAGATAAAAATGGCTGAATCATCGGCACATATATGGTACTTAAGCCTTTGGACTGAATGAGCTTACCTAGAGAGAGGGAAGAGAGAGAATATTCTTGAGGCCTGAGACGCTACCCACATTTAGAAGACACACCAGCAAAGAAATAAAAGGGACTGGCCAGTTGGGAGGAGGGAAGTCTAAGAGTAAGATGCCGTATATTAAAGCTCAGAATCAAGTGTATTTGGGAAGGTAAGAAGTGGTCGATTGTGTCCAACATGGCTAAAAAGATGAGCAAGGTAGAGGCGGCAGAAGACCATTGATTTTGGTAACAAAGATCCTTGGTGACCTTCAGAAGAATCATTTCAGCAGACTGGCAAAGCTGCAGGCCTATCTGGATTGATTTCAGGGAAGAATAAGAGGTAAGGAAGGGAAGATGGTGAGTATACACAACTCTACAGAGAGTTTTGCTTTGAAGGGAAACAGAAAACACCACAATAGCTGGATTACAAAACTTCTATTTGGATTCTTTTCTTGCCTGTTGATAGTATAGGCTGCACCTGAGCACCATCTCACCTTTCCCTTCTGACTTTTTGTTTGTTTTTTAATCCTTTAGACACTTCTTCTATTAGGAGCCTAACACACTGTACCTTGTTTTCCAAATTCCCTTTAGACAACTAATTCATAATTTACTATATGTTCTAGAAATGTGAAATAATATAACTATAAATATAGACTACAGTATGTTTTAGAAACGTAAAATAATACAGCTATAAATTTATAATATGTCTTAGAAACGTAAAATATAGACTATCAAAAGAGCTTGGAAATACCAAACCTAGTTTTAGAAAGCAGAGGTATACAACTAAAATGGAAATTAAAGGTGTTTCAAGGAAAACCCTAGCATATCTGTGGTGGTACTGAAGAAACCTTCCTTCTGGGATTACTATCATCCTATTTTCTTGATATAACGTTTACAATAAAGTTGGTAAATTATTACTGTGTCACCATCCTATAGTAACACAGTAAAAGCTCCAGATACGATAATATAAATATAAAATGCAAATTAAGAAAAAATCAAAATGGCTATGTAGGCTTTTATTAGGGCAAGCATTTCCATAAACATAAAGATCTCCTTAAAACAAATAGATGTCCCAAGGATCTTCGTTAAATAGTGATCCAAAATGAACAAAAATTAGTAAAACTGTAAACACATTTCAGCATATAAAACAAGTCTTCTGAAGTTTTTTAAAAATTATTTTCCAAGTGAAAGTTACAAGTAATTAATGTGAAAACCATAATTAAAACAGGTGACACAGGTTATACTGTACTTTCCCAAGGTAAAGAAATATATTTGATATAATATTCTCCTGAATTCCATTTGATATCACAAAATAAACTTTACTGGGCAAAAATGTTTTAAAAATCTCAGATAACACAGACATGATTAAAAGATATACACTGTGTATAAATAATTTAAAGATATTGTCAGTCACAGAAATGTAAAATCATTATATGAATATAAGAAATGCTATAGAGCAAAATATTGTTAAAATAGAGAAGAAGAGATATTCTGAAACAAATGAAAAGTCAAGATTAAGAAGTAGTGGCGACTACATATTTCTAAAGTATAATAGATACTGAAATGCCAAGGGGAAAATGAACAGAACTCTCCTGAGGCGGTAGTGACAATGGACAGAGCTGGCTTTTAAAATGCTAACCGTTAGCAGACACATCTTATGGCAGTTCATGAAATGCTTCATATTTCAGTGGAAAACTATTTCAACGGTAAAAATGATATAGGAATCAGAAGCATATTCTTCTGAGACACTAGGTAATTTACACTTTCTCGAACTGAAAAAAAATTCATAAGAAGGTATATAAAGTTATTGACTAAATCAGATTTGTTCTAAGAATAACTTGTGCTTAGTGAAATAGCTTACCAGCTGCCACAACTCTGGGATGCTCATGAGACTGATGTCTCCCAGCTGCTCGGCCATGTGCACTCTCGTTCCACCAAAGAACATGAACTGCAGAAATAAACCAGAAATAGATTCTAAAAACTGTGGCATTACTACAAATAAGAAAGACAGAAACATTAATCAGAAACTGAAAGTCCTATTCTTTAACTCAAAATAGTGAGTATCAACAAGGTAACACTAAGTATGTTAGTGATAAGATTTCAGAGGGGTCAGAGATTTGGGAGAGAAAGTTATAAGATAATTAGCCAAACTGGTTTTATAGATGAAGAAACAGAAGGCTTTTATTTTAAAAAGCAAAACTATAAAAAAATTGTGTTTACTACTGAAAATTTGGCTGATACAAAGAATATAAAAAGTGCCATAATCTTAACCACTTAGAGAAAACCTCTTTTAATATTAATATTTAGTATATTTCCTTCAAAAAATATGAGTAAAATAAAATTAGGGTCTTGCTGTATATTATGCTTAGAAATAGATTTTTAAAAATCAACAATGAGTATTTTCTTTGGCAGTGATATTAATTTTTAATGGCTCTGTGAATTCCTCCTTATAGATATAGCAACTTTTTGTCCCAACACCTTATTGTTATATTCAAAATACATATTGTTGTTATATTCAAAATAGTGTGGTATTCTACAAAATACTCAAATAAGTGTACTTGTACTTATTTAAATTTTTAAAAAATAATTATAAGTAACATGTGTTAGCTGTATAGATTTTGGAAAATGCAGATAAACAAAAACAGAAAACAATAATCATTTCTAATCCTACCAACCTGAAATAACTACTTTTCAATTTTGGTGTATCTTTTCCATATTTACGTATATATGTATTTATTTTTATATGTTTAAATATTTATATACACACAGAATATATGTTTATGCTTATATAAGATACATGATGTATGTGATTTATGTGTGTCTATTTGTGTATTACAAGTATATTATATACATAGGGTCATATCACATTGTCTCTAAAGTTTCCTTATCATAAACAATGCTGACAAAAACTTCCTTAGAGCAGCACCTATCATGTAT